AGGAATATTCCTTTAAACCTAAAACATCAAAATGTTCCTGATTGGAGGACTAAGTAGCGGTTACTATTACTGCACTTAAAATATCAAAATATGATTATTCCACCATTATTCCACTCGGTAATCGATGTTGGCATTGCAATTTTCCTTAAATTGTAAGCATATTGAATTTTTTTAAACATTTTGGATTTCCTTGTGTGTAAAGGAAATGATTCTTTGGATGATACAACAGAACCAAAAACAAGGGCTGAACTGAACAACTTGGACGAAATATATCCTGTATTGCCTTACAAACAATTCAGTGTTTTTGTTATAATGAAATTGAAGAATCGAACAATTTGCCTATTACTATGTACATATGGGGAATAAAGGTAGTAAAGTTCAAAGGAATTTACCTTCAAGTTACATCTTTAGATATTATATGAGTAGTTCATTCACAATAATAAATATAATTGAGATCATTCAGTCATACTTTCTCGAATTTCTCCCCTGTAGGTTGTTCGAATATGCTGTGGATTCGATTGTGGTTTATAGTAGGAGTACTAACAGACAGTCTCAAGATCATCTCATTCCTAACCCAAAATATACTTTAGCCAACCACAACTATTTCACTGGTATCAGTTATTAGAAGGTCATTCACTCATGACGTACAGCAATTCATACTTATACTGAACTCTGAATGGCCGTTTACATTTTTTGTCAAGTTCATCTGATGAGAATTTATATGCATGAATTGCTTCGTTTCACGAATTCGAGGAATGAGGGGTTATTTCAAAGTTTTGCCTTTAATTTTGCACATAATCAAGTTTGAAAACTGCTTATAGTACAACCTTTGTAAGAAAACAAACTGTTTTGGAAATGTCCTTTTTCGATAAAACATACATTTACTGATGATTTTTATACAGTCATATTAGTAACGAACCCGGCTTTTACCAATGACCACAGATTCAATTCAAAATTTAGTGAAAAATGTGAGATTGTGTTTAGCTAAGTAAGGAAGTAAAATAGAAATATGTAAGTTCAAACAGTAAAACAGGAACTTGTTTAATATCCTGCAGATTGTAAAGTTAAGATCACCTTGATCTCCATTTGAATTCAACTGTTTTGTTTGCCAGAAAAAAAACAGTCAGAATAGTTTAAGGGGAGTGGCATACAAAAAATTCCAGTTACTTGTTTAACATTTCTGATCTTCAAAACAAAAAATTATAAAAAATGTTGGCATAATTTTTTCTGATTTGTTACATTTGTTTCTGTAATTGCTTATGGAAATTCATAATTGTAAACTATCAAATCTCCCACTTCAGTTTTAGCTTTTCCTTTATGAATATTGAAATATGAACCTAGTTTTCCTATTTGCAATTAGCCAATCAATATAAAGAACTCAGTATAGAGTATGAACATTTGTTTAACTTTTGCTATTTCTTCAAATATTGAATGTGTCTTACATTTCCTGTATATACTTGCCATGGTTTTTATTTCAACATCATTGGTTTTTCAATTTCCCGTATGTTTGTTGCAATTTCAGCGAAAAGAAAAATTAATATCTCAAATGTTGAAATCGATGTCTTTATTTAAAAATGTCAGCTTGATTGTGCCATTAAGTGTTCTGTCAACATTACTTAATTTCTCAAGATTTTTACACAAATGCATTTCCTGGTAAACACGAAATATTGATATTTTACACCAGATTTTCTTAATGGAATTGACTGATGTGAACTTTCTATTAAGGAATTCATGTAAACTAACAAAGTATGACACAACCACTTATTGGAAATTTTAAAAATAACTAAAGATGCACTATCGAACCTGACAGGATTGATACATTTAGAAGTGGAATGTACTCATACTTACATTTATATAATTTCTGAAATCGATGATGAGCAGATTACTAGCATATGTCATAAATCCCATTTGCAAAATCTTCAATTTAGCAGTCTTATAGTCTAAACATTTAATATGCTACCCAGAAAAGATGAATCAAACCTAAAAAGCACATTCTAAATATCTGTATACCTTTGTTACCACATTCCTTCCATACTGCTTATTAGATAGAATTCATACTGCACCAGTATGTGTGTTTTTCATATAAACTTGACCCACTCCCTCCACATACCAACATTCATAATAATTAAAGCCAAAGTTCATAATAATGATGATTTCTAAACTTTATTTTTGCTCATCCTGAATGTAATCATCCTACCCCCATGCTCATCTCAATTAATTGTGCATTTACTGCCTTGCAGCCAGGAATATTGGCCGAAGACGAGGTAGATATTTCCGCCATTTTGTTTTATCTTTCACGTTGGTGACGTTTATTCTATTGTAGTTAAGTTTTAATATTCGCTTACATGTTATATGTTCTACATATTTTCATCTGGCTCTTGTTTGTATTCATTGTTTGTGAATCTTTCTATTTTATTATTATCACAATTTAGAAGTGAATAGCATATAATTCATTAGACATCCAGCAAATCTTAATAATTGACAATAGAATATTTATACTGTTGTTTTACAACTTTTAGAACTTTTTAAGTATTCATTGTATATGAGGGCAAATCTTATTTGAAGTTTTGTTTGAACTTTTACATCATACATACTATGACTATATTATTTTGTAGATTCATTGTCTAATTTATTTGATATTTAGTATACATGTACTATGTTTTCGAAAGCCTCTCTCTCATCTTTTTCTCATTTACTTCTTATAAATTATGGTGTATATATACAGGGTGTACATGTAATAATCTTTAGAATTTTAATCGTATAAATGTTTAAATTCAGTAAGATCATCATTTTTTGAAAAATCATCAGAATAATTCTTAAATGTATAAAAGTTTCAAAACTCTTATTCATTGTGTTTCAGTAACAAAGTCTTGTTCTTCTGAGAATTCTTATGACTAAAGGTATTTAGCATCAATGATATAAGGGATCAATTGAGGTCAAGATGCAAGACATTCACATAATATGATAACCATATTTATTATAACATAATAGAATAAATAAATATGGCTTAATTCTATTGCCTAATAATCTTATTAGTTTCTTGGATGCTCTGTTCAAATAGGATTAAAACTGGAATTAGAATTGACGTTCCAAACATCTCCGTTAATGATCCTTTATATTGGAGAGGAGCTTCCTAATAACTAACTTTAAAACCCCTTTGTAATTCAACTCTTTAGAACACAAACAAGAGGACTGCAAAGGCTTTGCCAATCAAGATGAACAAAACTTTTCTCCAAAGAGAATCAATTTTAAAAGATCCAAGGAGGTGGTCCATGTGTATTGAGGGTTTATAGTCCCAATACTTGATTCAAAACAAAACCTAGAAGAGTGGACCAGTTGACTTTGGAACGACTTGTCTTTGGGACCAGTTACCTATAGTTCTATAGCCATACCACATATTTTCTACTCACATTTACCAATAGTAAAAAGGATTTCGTAGAACCGTTATGTAAAATTTCTAAAATTGATTACCATTTTGGTTCCCATTTAATCAAATACAGCGTGTGTTATACTCGTATCTAGAAATATTTCTAATTTTGGTTTTAATTTATCAATTACATCATGTGCTATAATACAAACATTTCCTCTTCAGATTCCATTTTATCAAAGACACTGTCATAATCTGTGCTATATATATTATGATACGAGTCGAGTGGTAGATATAATGCTGAAGTAACCATTTGTTCTGTTACATGTGCCTATGTCCAGGGTGTTGCATTGTTGCCCCTAGATGTTGGTTGATGTCAGTCAATTTAACACTTACGCCATTGTCACGATGTGTATGACATGCTATATGTGAAACATTATCTATTTGTTGTTGTTAGTATACAATGGTATGGGGCAAATGTTGGGATGTTAAACTACCATAATTGGTTCTGTTGTGTATGGTACTGTATTATGTATAATAAGACTGGGTTTTGTATTACAGGATGAATTTCTCCATTCCTCGACAGTATAATGTTGATATGTTACGACTATACCTGGCGTAATATAAGCTATGAGTTCTTTATTTGCTAAGATCATGTCATGAAAAACTCTATTCTCATTAGTATAAGACCAATTTTCTATAATAGGAATACCATCTGCTTGTGCCATTAATATGTATGAATGTAATTTTCCAAGTAATTATGTAATTGTGGACAATGCTAGCAATACATGCAGCATATTTCTACACAACTTAACTTTTATGCATTGATTATAGGGGTTGTATCAGGATATCAATGCCATCAATTTAATAAATGATTCTTATTGGTTGTGAGTTGAGGCTGTTTCTTAATGTAAATCAACTATTGGCATTTTGTTACATTAATTGGGGTTAACGCAGTTACAACAGTTTTTTGATGGGCATTGATATTTTGGACCAATCTGATATATTTATTTGTACAGCTATGTTGAAGCTTGTTTAAGAATCCAGTGCATCTATGTGACATTTCACCAATGTTATGTTGCTTCGTCATAGTGAGATTAAAATGTGAATTTTTAATGTTGCAGGGAAATCCCCTTTCCCGAGTTTGGGAGATGAATCAAGCAGCCACTCGCTATTGGACGACGGGTCGCTGGATCAACTCGTTCCGAATATTAATTCGTCCAATAGCGGATCACCTAACTCACTAATAGGTGGTGCTGAGCATATCGAGAGATTCTCTCGGAAAGTGTTTGTCGGTGGTTTGCCGCCTGATATTGATGAGGGTAGGTGGCCCATTGGTGTTTTCTTTTAGGCTGTCTAGTTATTACTGTGGTATATAACAGACACTACTGGTGAATCTGTTGTATACCATAGCTTGCACTGTTGTTTAGTTTGCATTTAGGAGATGTATTGCTGACTTCATGCCTGTTTTCACCCCCTCAAATACCATACCACCACATTGTGTATGCTCCCTGGTGTCACTGTGGTTGTACCCACACTGTATGCTCCCAATATGGCTGCTGCTGTGTGGCATGCCACCTATTGCATGTCTAGTATACTAGAAACTAGCATTATGTTTTATTATACCCTACAGATAACTTGATCCAGCAGTTAAGTTCCATGTCCCAAGGCTCACCCAACTCCCAAAGCCTTTCACCAAATGAGCTGTACTCAAAGAAGGTCTTTGTGGGAGGCCTCCCCCCTGACAGTGACGAGGGTAGGTTTTGTTTTAGTTTTTTGAGTTCAATTATATTTGGTTATCTCTAACTAGAAAATTAGAATAGTTGACCGTTTGTTAATTGAACACAGTTTGTGTTCATTCATTGAACACAGTTTGTGTTCATTCATTGAACACAGTTTGTGTTCATTCATTACGATGTTAGAAATACCAAAATGTTGAGATCAGTTTTCGTTTGTTATCTTTGTGAATTGTTTTGAAACATAATTTATATGATTTTTCTGATATGCTTTATGTTGATATTAACAATTTCATGTTATGATTCCATTGTGTCAGTATTTATTTAGCTTACAAGTGATCATTTTTATGCTTTGTGTTGCAGTTTTTATAACCCTTGTCATTTAAAAAACAGAATGAATCATTGTTTCTGAAAAGCTGTCAAGCAAACAAAAATACCCACAGCCCTTTTGACAAAGATCCCAGTCAAACTGATGCCTTGGAACATTGCCTGATTATTTCTTTACTGATTGCGTTCATTTTTTAAAACACATAAAAAATCTTGACATTCCATTAATAGATTTATGATACATAAAGGTATTGCTTTCTTTTAATGTCACTTTGATTGGCATTCTAGAAGACATATTGATTACAGATGTTGTTGTATCACATTAAAAAATCTTGCATTGTTAAGAAAAGAGACTGACAAACGCAATATGTACACTATACTTTGTTTGGTATATTACAGATTCTATTTTAAATCTTAGATTGTGATTTGAACAAACATAATTTACATGTATTTGAATTTTATTTATTTTTGTGAGAATTTTCCTATTAGATATACTGCATCAAATGAACAATGTTCAATAGCAATATCTATACCATACATTGTTTTATAGTAGAAAAATCTCATTGATTTTATATTTGTTTTCATTCTCAATTTTCACATTCATAAAAGTATTATATGTTATGCTTTCTCCCTTTTTGGGTCTGGGTAACCTAAGTTGGTACTTCATCCTTATAAGAAGTGCTCCAGATTTGGGTGGAAGCGTGGCTTTTTGTCTGTTAGTACCAATTTGAATTGTATGTCCTTGCTTAAATAAAAAAGATGTACTCATGTTCTCTATAATGATCAATTTACCTTTAATGATTATAAGACTGGTTTAGACATTGCATAAGCCAGTTTGGGTATCTTGATCGCTATAGGCCCTCCCTCCCTCCTCTATATGATTTGATGTGTCTATGTTTACAGAGGAAATAACTGCTGCGTTCAGGAGATTTGGAGCTCTAGTGGTAGATTGGCCACACAAGGCTGAAAGCAAGTCATACTTCCCCCCAAAAGGTATGTATCTATGTTCATTGTGAAATTGTAGTTATGTTTTACATATAGAATTTAGAAGTTAGCAAAAGAATAGCACCATTGTTACACAAAGTAACACATTCATGTTCACCAATGTATCTTTTTGCTGCGTATTTTGTATTTATATCAATTGCCAGAAATGTCACTGATTATCCATTCGTTGGTGATCAAATCAAGTTGCATCAGATACGAATTCTGAATAACCTAAAACATTGTTGAAGCTTTATTGATCATTTGAGGTGAACCGAGTGAGACATTTGTTATAGGCAGATATGATTGAAAACAGAGCTACATTTTATGGGCACACTTAGAACGTATGGAGACCCTGGTCAAAGCCAGATTGGAATTGAAATATTGTATTATTGATGAAATTAGATCCAAACTGCTTTTATAGGGCATCGAGGGGCATTGGAATCATAAAAACCATCAGTCCTTTTCCCAGAATGATAACAATTTTGTCTGGGTGAATTAAAGTAGGTGTATTAATCAAATTCTATTGAGTGAAATTACAAGGGAGGTCATTGCGATGATGTTGGCATGGTCATCTCTGTATTTCATATTATGGTATGGTGTTCATCCAATTTTAGAAGATTGATTGATTCATACATTTAAACAATTCCCAATTGAAATCAGAGATATGCAGGTATTGTACTGAAATAAAGGTTTTACTACTGGCTATTTAATCAAGTGATAGTCACAATGTGGGTCGTATATCACATTCACCTGGCTGATAATTCATTTGACGCCCACATATGCAGTCTTGTATATGCAGCTTGTACCAAAAAATGAAACCGCTGTACATATATTGCAATAATTGTATGCATGTGAACACATTGACTTTAAAATGTTTTCTGGAAATGAAAAAAATTCTTTACATATGTGAACAGCTTGGATATACTTATACATTCCTCACAATACTCAAGTATAGCCATCATACAATAATTGATTTTAACTCCAATATAGTTAAGTCAATAGCTAATGCAATGGAGAGTGAGTTAATGTCATTCAGCTGAACCGCCTGTGTCATTTTAACCAAATCTGCACATAACTCCAAGTTCGCTTAAATATTCATGCGATGATCTTAAATTACTCACTCAGAGACTGCACTATGCGGATGTAGGAACTGGAAATGCTGTTGATTTCATCCTATGGGGGCATGTGGCATAATAGATATAGAGTCAATCCGTCACTTTTGGGCAAAGAGGGGAAATCACATCCTTCGGGACACTTTACACTTGCTTCTTATGTCAACTGGATGATCAATCTCAAAGTTTAATGTACTCCCTAGTCAATATGTGGGCTTTAGATTATGCTAAGTACAATTTGCCTTATAAAGGTACTTTCTGGTTTTTATTTATCGTACCTAACAAGAGGTACGATATTGTAGTCAGCTTGACGGGCGGCAGGCGGGCGGCGTCTCACTTTTCAGCTTGTCTACAGGTTTCCAGCCAAACCATTTGAGGGATTCATCTGAAATTTTCAGGGATGTTTCTACATATCAACGTCAAGAACTGATTAGTTTTTGGGCATTCTGGGTAAATTTTAAGGTGGCCATTTTGGATTTTCCGTCCTAAAATCTTCACTTTCAAGACTTGTCTACAGGTTTTCAGCCAAACCATTTGAGGGATTCATCTGAAATTTTCAGGGATGTTTCTACATATCAACGTCAAGAATTGATTAGTTTTTGGGCATTCTGGGTAAATTTTAAGGTGGCCATTTTGGATTTTCCGTCCTAAAATCTTCACTTTCAAGACTTGTCTACAGGTTTTCAGCCAAACCATTTGAGGGATTCATCTGAAATTTTCAGGGATGTTTCTACATATCAACGTTAAGAACTGATTAGTTTTTGGGCATTCTTGGTAAATTTTAAGGTGGCCATTTTGCTAAAATCTTCACTTTCAAGACTTGTCTACAGGTTTTCAGCCAAACCATTTGAGGGATTCATCTGAAATTTTCAGGGATGTTTCTACATACATGCTGTGTTTTAGGTACGATATTGTTCACGTCTGTGCCTTGTTCTGTAGTTGAAATAGTCCTCACCATCTTTTTGCTGGAAGTCTCAATAATTGGCTTGATAACAGCATGTAGGTAAAAGGATACGTGAGATCATCATTTTTTCAAAAATATCAAAAAATTGTAGACAGTGTCACTTTAAAGGCCAACCAATCATCCAAATGTTCAACTTTGTTTCTATTGGGTAGGCTTTCTGTTAGAGATAAAAGGGACTGTTGAGGGGTGAATGTAAATTCCTCACTTCTAAAAGAATTCTGTCCTTCAAATACCACCAGTTGATGTTTCGATTTATCCAAATTAAGGTTCCGTTGATAATGCTTAACTGATTGAAGAGGAACCACCAAGGGGCAAATGGAACATTCCCCACTCCTTCTTGTTCAACAAAGGCCATCACCACTTGTTAAACTTTATCTGGATTAAAATCCATAGGGTAATGCTCAAATAGTTAAAAGGGACAGTAAATGGATAAATGTATAAATGAAACAAGATCAGGGGAACATTTCGAATCTGAAGGGCCCTGATTTAAGAGACGTTGTTTTGATTTTAGAAAGGCCAAGTTGTTGATTTATTAGCCTTTGTTGATGCTGAGGTACTCTTTGAAATAGTCCTCCCACTACTTGATTATCTGAAAAAACAATTGTTCTCACTCTCACAAATTGGTTTAATCTGTTTTGGACGTAAAGGAAATTGTTTGATAATTGTATTAGAATAGCGCCAAGGCTTGCTCATGGTTGATCTACTGATGGATTGTTTTAACCTTGCGTTGAAATCACAGTAGTGTTTTCTTGTAATATATCCAATTAGGGGCTGTTGTGCTCTGGATTGACATCATCAGATGCATTTTGGGATGGTTGGTCAGAGGTCTAAGGGCAACTAAGAGACACAGGAAATTGGCTGATTTTGTATAAAAATGTTGATATTAATATTTTAATATTTCTATGGTGAATTGGTGGATGATGGAATATCTAAAACAACAAATCATTATAGCACTTTAATCTTTCTGTATTGCACTCTTACATGCGCATGCCTTGTTAGAAAGAGTCTCAGGGGCATAACTGACCATCTTCACTTTAGTGGCCGTGTGTTTAAGTAGATTTTAAATTATTAATGCAATCACAAGTGTGTCTATCCACTCATGATTTTGTACATCAAGCATGACATTAAGCCAGTCATTCATGAGATACTCAGAATGGGCAAGTGGTTAGGAATCTAATTTTTTTCTTTTTTGAAATTTCTGTTGGAGGCAGTTAGTTTTATCAACTGTGAACTTCTTAATATTATATTACCCACTTTGATCCAATTAGTTTTTTCTCCTAAGCTTTGCTCAAGATCTGATGGTTTTATCTATCTAATATTATCTTTTGCTTTGGAGCATATAGGATAGTCTTCACAAAATAACTCTTCCAATAGGAATCTGTTGAATTAAAGATTTGTTGCACAAAGGCCAATCATCTCTCTATTATAGCTTAATTGAATGAGGTGAAACCTGTGTTTCTTTTTGATCACTTTGTTTGAAATCTCTTTGAGGATTATCCTTGAACTAGTTTACCTCCACCTTGGCTATATCAGTTATATGTCTGAAGATTTCAAGTCCTTTGCCTTGGCATGTTTAGCGATACCAGATAATTGACCTTTTTGATAAGACTTGGGATTTTTTCTTATCTTCTCTAATACCCTTACCAATGTATGAAATATAATCAAGTGTTTTTAGAATATAAAGTGGAATATAAAAGGAGTTGTAATTTGAAGAAAGTCATCAACAAAGTAGTCCATGCTCATTGTGAAAATGTTAGAAAATTGCTGTCATTTTTTGAAACTTTTTAGGAAATGTTCTTTGATTAGATTGACCAGTTCAGCATTTTAAGGTCAGATCTTTTAAAATACTGGATGTTGGACATCGTTGCCCTTCATCCAAGTCACGTAGACTTAATCATTAGGCAGTAGGCGGTATTCATGTCATTAATGGGTGCAACAACATTGGGTTGACATTTTAAGATGCAGTCCTATAATGATATTGCCCAAATATTTTGTTCTACTTTAGACGAATATCTTTCAGAAGTGATATTCCACGAAGCCCAAAATGACTTATGGAATATCATCTTGTGAAAGTGCTTATACAAGTCCATCAAAGTACATGTACATAGCAGATTTCTCTAGGTCTATAAATGTGTGTTTATATATATATTTTTATTTGTTTATTTGGAAACTATGCTTTTATAACAGCGGCACACAAAATTGGAGCATTCATTTAAGATACACTTAAATGAAGATAAGAATTGTAATTGGTATTATTTACCTATATTTGCAGGCTATTGTTTCTTGCTGTTTCAAGATGAGATGTCTGTTCAGGCATTGATAGAGGCCTGTGTCATGGATGACAGTAAACTATACTGGTGTGTCTCTAGTCCTACCATGAAGGATAAACCAGTAAGTATACACAGGCTAAATATTTTGAGAGTCGTGCTTTGAATCATATGTTTGATAATCTAAAGACTTGAAAACTGCAAATAGGTTTAATGTCTGTTTTGGCTCATATGAACTGATTTTTACCCAGATTTTTAGCTCACATGGTGAGCTTTTTGCAATCACTCACTTGTTACCAGTTTTTGCCTTGATGTAATCTTCTGTTTAATATCAACTCATGCCTGCCTACAACACTGCGATTAAAATGGTGTAATCAGAGATTATAAATAATGAAATGTGGAGATACAAATGTTCATACTTTGATTTTTTGTAGTTCATATGGTTTATTTGGATTTGTGTGTTTTCCTGTTGTATGTTTAGCTCTCAGGAAATTGTTTAAAATCCTAGAAAAGGGTGATAAATTATTTCCTTGAAATAGCGAATATATTCTGTAAATGGGGCATTTTGTATTATGTCATGGATTATCTTCCATGGTTCCCCACAGGAGACCAGACCCACAATTCTTTATTTTGTGTTTATTTGTACATATTCATACCTTGAACTAGGTTTAATCCTTCTATTTGGAATGAATGATAATATGCCCAATAGGGTGCCTTTCACCTCAACATGTATTTTAAACCTTTATTGGAAATAAATAAATGAATTGAAGAAAATTAGCTCATTTCATACAAGGGATCTTTGTATTAAGTATATAAATCATTTATCTTAATCATTTATCTCAATGAAAGCAATTCAGAAAAGCGGATGAAAATTGAATCTGCATTTTCTTGTTCAAATATGTCATTCTCTTCTGGGAAATATGAAATCCTCCCATCTCTCCCACAAAAGTGCTTGGTGACATTGCTGACTATATTAGAAATGGGGCAATTCTAGTTTATTTACAGGGAACCTTCAGTTTGTGAACACCTCTCTATGGTTACATCTTGAAAAGTGAATAATTTAATGTCTCTGTTCCATAGTATATATGTCCACATAGACCTGAAATTGTAGAATGTGAACATTTTCAGTTTCAAATTGCATACTCTTAACCTAGAAATGTGAATTTTTGTGGCACCAGATTTTTGAAGTCCAATTAACTCCCTCAATTTTATATTTGAGAACCTAAAAATGTTACAGGAATAGAACATTTATCTCACCGTAGCAGTGTTCAATTTCAAGAAGTTTTGCTGTATGTTATTATGTGTCAGGATGGTCTAACACCAGGGATTGGTGTCAAGGGTGCACCATTATTGATTTTCTCTATGGTTGATAGTAAAACACATCAGTTGCGCATAATGTTAATTTTGTGTGGGGATTAGAATGATGAAACGCTTCCATTAAACGGATGTTTCTTCGTTATAAATTCATGAATCATTTGAGATGGGAATTCATGATTAGGACTCTCATCAAATTACTTGTATGTAAAGTACATGCAATATATAATATATCTTACAAATGTGAGAGTTGTTGAACTCTATTGATTTGATTTTAAAATTAAACTTAAAAATGCAATTTATATTATATTATATTCAAGAACAATTACTTAATAATAGACAGAAGAAACACATATTCTCGAATCCATCCCATAATTTTTTTAGATCTCAAATGATGTGCTAATCCGACCATGAAAAGAAATTGCCCCGTTATACAGGGTATTTGTAATATAACATTTATTTTTTAGGTTCAGATCAGGCCCTGGAATCTGAATGACTCTGACTTTGTCATGGATGGCTCTCAGCCATTAGATCCGAGGAAAACTATCTTCGTTGGTGGCGTTCCTCGACCGCTAAGAGCTGGTAAGTCGACTGTCAACATTGCGTCGAGTATATTACTAAAGCCTTATGCATGAGGGTGCAGAGAAACATGTCTTATTAATTAACTCTTAGTTAGATTTATCACTTATTCGGTGTTTGATTAATCAATTAGAACAGTGACCTCTTCTTTCACGTTTGAGCCAATGTGCGGGACCATGTTTAGGTAACCCCTCCTTGCCTTTATAAAGTACACCCATTTCCCTATGTGACTTTAATCAAATTTTAAGCCTGGGGAGAAGAGTTAATAGCTAATTGTGTGTGTAGTCATTTTACTATTAGAGTGGTTTATTCATAAATATTAATGAAAAACTGTTTATACTTCCTTTAAGTGTAGGCATTCGTTACAGGGTATTCCAACCCAAAGATTTAATTATATTTATACAGTTACCTCAATCCCGCACAGTGTGGATGTTTTCCCAGGTCAAGTTGAACTTGTTAAGTACATTGTCTTCTTTAATTACTTATGCAAATTACGACTATCCATTCCAAATGGTCATGAAGATATAATCACTTTTTAATTGATGGCTATTATTCAGTCAGTCATCAAACTTATCGATCTAAGTTTATATTTTTCATCAACATGTACATGTTAGTTGAAAAAAAAACTTTAAGTTAATATCAGATGAAAGTCAGTCATTCAGTTTGTTCATATAATATGCTGGATGATCATTGTGGTCAAATTATGAAATGAAAATGTTATATATATGTCAGCAAATAAAATGTTATATGTGTACAATTACAGCATTACTTATTAAAAGTTGAGATCAGATATAGTTTTTGACCATATTATTGCCACTATTGAGCTCCTAATATTTGGACTGTCTTTCTTAATTGCAATGTCAATCAAAGGATGCCTTTTTGACAGTTTTTTAATTCATTTAGGCCTGCCTTGTCATTTTCAAGTCTCCAGTCGTTGTTCATCCATAGATTTGACCATTTTTCAAATGACCTCTGTTAATTACTCATTCGGGAGTTTTGCAAAATCAATGAACTATCTTTCCTCTCAGAGTACATTATTAGTATCATGTCCAGTCTAAACCGTGTTCTGAGTTTATTTATATCATAACATCATAGGATAAATTGACATATTGTTATAGCTCCAACTTTTTGTGGACAGTGTTCAGTGGTTGATGGTCGGTGGTTGGTGTTAGCATTCAGCATCTGTAACAAATGGCATGTGATGACATTTTGTATGTTAATGCCTTGTTATTTGAAACTAAATATTAGGCGGAATATTTACGATGTGTGTATTGTTTGAACCATAGAATAGATAGGGAGTTCTAGTAATATTATTTCCTTCAAAAATCATAGGATATCCTAGTAAATATGTTTGATTAATTACATTGTGCAAATACAGAAGTGTACTGTGATTTAACTTCTTATTGTGTATTGAACCTTATCCAATTCATAAATCAATACTAACCAGTCAAGCAAAGTGAGAAAAAATTATTTCATATTTGACGGATATCCAGTACTTATTCCTCTAATTATCATTTAACTGTCCATAATTCATTGACACTTCGATCAATATTTCAATGGACTTTACTTAATTAATGGCAATCTTCTCAGATGCTGACAGTCAAATTGATACATTAGGGTCATATTTAGTTCAAATTGTTATAGATATGGGCCCTGTAGCATTGTCCTGTATTAATGATCTACTCTCTGTTTAAAAGTACTGCTGTAGGGCGTTACAGTGGTCAGTATATGTGACACTTATAAGGACGTTACACATTTCTGTTCATGTTTTCTGAAAGTTCTGTCAGTTGTGCTTTGAGATTATTCATGAAATAGGCCATTTCCAGTAAAATAAAAATAATTTGTTAATTTGAGTTTCAAATTTCAAAAACATGGTATGTAAGGATAAGGTATATGACACAACAGGTGAACTTATGTTACTGGAACTTCTATATTACGACTTCTGTATATTGCAAAGGATGATTTTCTGAGCAGAGAACAAATAATAGAAATCAGTATATATTAATTAACTGGAATCATACCCAGTCTATAAAGCTCTAGGCATTGTCAGTTTAGTAAGTAGTTTCCTTGTTTTGCATTGATAGATTATGTGCCTGAAGGACATCGTGTTGTTTTGTTGTTTCGCACGGTTTCGCCTCACAGAAGACTTGTTTTCTATGTAATCTTTTGTGCATTCTACTGAACTCATGACTTCTGCTTCACTCTTAGTCAGGTCAGCAGCCATATTGATAGGACTATAAGGATTTCCCTTTCAACAATATAAGAAATACTGAAAACTGATCACCTTTTATTTCTATATGACTGTATTATATAGCCATTGGGTTATAGGAATAGATATCCTTACATCCCCATCCCCAATAATGATAATTCACCGTGGATTGTATCTTATTTCAGTTGAGCTTGCTATGATCATGGACAGATTGTATGGTGGAGTTTGCTATGCTGGTATTGACACAGACCCTGAGCTGAAATATCCCAAGGGTGCCGGGAGGGTTGCATTCTCCAACCAGCAGAGCTACATTGCAGCTATCAGTGCTAGATTTGTGCAACTACAACATGGAGACATTGATAAGAGGGTATGTGTTTGTTACATGTATAAAGCCTCTGTCACATTTGCTCTATGGCGGCATTATGGCGGCCATAGCTTCACAAAATCGATATAGAAAATCTACATAATATTGCTTGTCTTAAATTTTGTGCTGCATATTTCTCTCAAATTTTGGTAGCAACCGCAGACATAAGATTGCCGTAGATCAAATGTGACTGAGGTATAAGGGCCAACTAGGGGTTGATTTTATTTAGTTTTATATCGGAGTGAATTTATGTTTCAAATGTCATAGAGTACTATAGTACACTGCATATCAATAACAATAAAAGTTTTTACCATTTCTGAAAACGTGCCAAAATATATTGGAAAATATATTAATTATTTAGCAATATTTAATGGAGAACATTGATTTCTTATCCAGGTTGAAGTAAAGCCATACGTTCTGGATGATCAGATGTGCGATGAATGTCAAGGAGCACGATGTGGTGGCAAATTTGCACCATTTTTCTGTGCTAACGTAACCTGTCTGCAATATTATTGCGAACACTGCTGGGCCCAAATCCACGCCAGACCTGGTCGTGAGTTCCACAAGCCTCTAGTCAAGGAAGGTGCCGATCGCCCAAGGGCTGTTCCTTTCCGCTGGTGCTAAAAAGTCACCATCTTGGAATGTCGTCTGCAGTCAAGCAGAGCTAGCTCCACATTCAGAACTGGATAATTAGTACTCTGAAGCATTTGTGAAAGGATCTGAGATTTATTTAATTGGTAGTTTCTAGTGGTCTCAACTTAATTGCGAATGCTTCAGTGCACTTTATGAAGCTAGTGATCTGATTGGTTGCGGCCAAGGAATTTGTCAGAAAACAGCACGTTACCTCAGAATGATCCTGGCTGTTAATTAAAAACTATACCAAAGCATTAGTGTGTGCTCCAGGCTTCTTGCAACATCTCTCGCCATTACATTTTTTAAAACAAATATGGATGTAAAGATTTTATTATATATCTTTTGCTAGAGACTTCCAATACGCGTATTCATGTTTGATAAGAATAAGTTTTATAAAATATCTAGGTTTTTATCACATTTTGTATGCATGTATGTATAATCAGTGCACTTGTTCATAACGTGTGGCGGGAAATGTTCCTTGGAAGCAGACATCTTGTTTGATGATGTCATTGTCACGTGATCTATTGTACGATCTCACTCAACCAAAGACATTCTGTTTGCGACCCTTGGTTTCCCAAATCCCTACATTGAACGGGTGATCTACTGAAGAATATAAGCAAATGTATATCATCAATAATATACCTGAAGCGTATAGCCATGAATATACCCCTTAGTGGTGGTATATACATGAATATAGAGCTAGCTGTGTATGTAGGGAATACTGTCATACTATTACATAGACAAGAATCATGCTTTACTCTATATTAATCCACTAATACCTATATCTAACACAAAGTATATAGCTGTTCTTATAATCTAGAGTACATGTACACGACATGTCTATCCTGTATCTTAAATACAGGTGGGAGACCTAAATTACACCTTATATGTACATAGAATACTGCATAAGGCATAGCAAGCTATATATAGACAATCATATTTTATAGTTTCTTGCAAATAATGGTTTAAACTACCTGCACGATGAGTCTCTCTAGTCACTTTGTACTAAAACGCCTGTTGTAAGCATGCAAGTAGGAGGTGTGGGTGGGGGAGTATGAATGTTTGAATGATGGCTGGTTATATAACTACGGGGTAGTGAAGAATCAAAATCATTGATGCATAGTTTTGATATCAGGAGTTGAATTGAATTTGATGTTGGAACCTTGCATGTGACAGGTTCTTTTTTAACATACTAATACCCAGAATTCTCTACCTTATTTTTCTATGATATGATTCGCTTTCTTTGTCCTTTAGTCTTGTCTGTATAAGGTATTGTCTTGTGCCACAGTGCATTTGTGCCATAAACTAGCACATCCCCATTTATGTAAATGGACTAGTCGAGAATGGAGGAGGGTTAGTCTATTTGTTGTAAAATAGGGGTAATTCTAGGTTGGGTAAGAGCTAAATTTGTACATGTTAAATGTATGTATATAGGTATTCACTGCTTGCTAAATTCCAGCAAACAACACCACTTGAAAATAAAAGAAGCAATTAAAAGCACAGGAAATTGTTTCTCAGAGAGAATGCATTATGGGAAATGAGGCTCATCTTTGCAGTACAGAAAAACAGTAATTGGCTTTATTTCCCATAATGCATCTTGGCTTGCAGAAGATCCAATGAGTAAAGATTTATTTTTGATCTAATTTATTAATAATGTAAAAAGATTAGCTTTATTTTTCTAGTCCTAGCATGCGCAGTGTATAAGGGGTCTCTCTGCGAGCCAACTATCTCTTTGGGAATCGATTCACATTCAGAGAATGTAGAGACAATGAAGAACGACTTGAAATTCAAACAATTTAAGGATCAGTTAGTATCTGTGTATTGTAGTTTGCACGACTGTATACAGCTACATATTTCACACTTTTTGTATAGAGAATTTATTTAGAGTGATGTTGTATTTTGGAATTATTTCTTAACCCTACCTACCTCGGCTTTCTAATTGTATCTTGCATGAAATATAGCACTTCACCAGAGGGTTAATGTATCAAATTATTATATTCAGAGCTATGTCAGTAACCTTTCAATCCAGCAGTTTTCTACACAGAATAATACCTCTAGATCATTATAGAATGTGTAGAGTAATGAATTTGATTTATTTCAAATTGAAAAATGCCACATAAATTTTTCTGTTTTAAATATTTCGTTCATTTGTTGATTGGTTATTGACACTGGTTGAAATTATCTCTAGTAGAGTTAATCAGAGATGCTCATTTGGCCATTTATTTTAGTACAGTATATAGATTGTTAAATATTCGCCCGTAGAATGACGGAGTACTTACTTGGGCGGAAGAGTCTTGTGCAATTTTTCTACCATTTTTGTAGCCGAATAGGTAAAGACATTTTTATTTTATTTTTTTGCTCAATGTATTAGCAGAATTTGTACTAAATTACTAGTGTTTCTAGAACTGATTGCGCAAGCATTCAGTAAATATTTATAAACAGTCACTTGTCGTTATGGCAACGGATATGTGTGAATAAATAAAAATAAGGGAGAATGAATAATTAGTTAGATTTCGAGGAATGTATTTGTTAAATTTAACAAAAATTGAATGAATTTTTATATGAACCTCAGGGTTCTTGAATTATCTCGACCCTGAATTGGGATGTTAATTAAAGATCAGCTCTTGGGCACACAATAAAATACAGCTGATTCAAAAACATGAAATGAAATTCTGAAATTAAAAAAGTAGTAATGCAAACAGCAAAATGCTGGTATTTGAGTAATAAAATATATATGTAATATAAGATACATACAACTATTGAATTCATATTGATTGAATTAGCACTTGATGTAACCCAGATTTCCCAATTTGTACATAGTATTGAAGTAATGTTTCATTATTATTGAAATTTGATGTTATCTGTGATTTTAGTAGTGAGCGGTTTTAGCGCAAAATGTTACAATTCATCGTTCAACAAGCTTATATGATTGTTTCCAAAACAAATGGTAGAAACTGTAGCTTATTTTTGAACTAATTTAATATCATAAAATATATATAAAAAAAGAAAAAAAAAGAAATTTGATTAAATGTGAGAGTGTTTTCCAAAGAATTGGTGTATGTTTTTTCATAATGTAAGGCTCTGCTATATAAAATTGCTAGATGTGTATAGATACAAGTGGGCCCATTGGAATTATGTAACACAACGTACAACTGCAATTTAATATGAAATACATGTATTTGTATTCAGTGTTTCTTATTTTAAAGAACTTTGTACTATTCCGTATTTTGTATTCAAATGAAAACTGAGACGACTAGCTATGGTAGTCTTTGATGTATTTAGAATTTGTAAAATTGAACATGTGTACAGAAGGGGTATTTATTTCACAGCGGAAAGAAGGTGCTAGTACTATATCTATATAATATGATAAAAGAGGATGTGCCACTTAAATATATAACATATTCCAGTGCACCAGTTATTTTTTCTAGTTCTCAATGGGTATTTCTAGCCCTATGTTTTTACATGATCATTTTATAATGTCCGACTATCTTGGCTTATATATTGTATGTGATACTTATGCACATATCTAACAATAGCATGAATCGTGTTGATGTGTGTATTTGAATCGCATGCCTAAACCCTGTAAGATAAACCCATGGTTGACATCATATATCAACTTCAAGAGTTCAAAACATCAAAATATTAGAAAATAATGAATTTTCTAAAATTGTCTCTCATAAAACGGGTATGGCTTTTTGTAAGTTTGTGGAAATTTCATCTTTTTCATTTATGGTAACAATTAATGCACTATGGCAACCATGGGTTTATCTTTTAAGGAAAGGGACTGTTTAACAAACACATTAAAGTATCACTGTAATAGATAAAATGCTTAATTCATTAGCTGCCAAAAACTGGCATTTCTAATCTTGTGTTATATATACTCATTTATATTATTAATTTATTTAATCTTTTATCATTTTTGGGAAAGGGCTATTTCAATGATTGGAAGAAAGGTAACAGCATTTGGAAAGATACGAGATGCCAGGTTGCGGTATACTCAAAGGCTCGATGTGGGGTCAGGTGTGAGGAAAGGCCCAGTATATGTATAAGTACTATATATATTGTGTGTATCTATACAAGAATCATTCAATGGAAAAGCTAAACAAGAATATGATATTCGTAAAATGACCTTGGCAAGTGTCATGCTCATGACACACCACAAATTGAAAAATAATTTGAGGTGGCTCGGTTTCATAGAATGAAGAGTATTCATTGCAATTTATCTTTTTATTTGAATGATTCAAATATTATATGGGATTATTTTAGCATTATTTTATGTATTTTTTATTACTACAGAATGTAGCATAATGATGGTGTTACTATGTAAAGGGCATGGTTTTTGTAACTGGATGTAAATTATAAGAGTGATTTATATCTTATGTATGTACATATAGGCAATGTATATCAATGTTTCAGACGACAACATACCTCTAACCTCGATATAAAGCACCACCTGGTTGGTTGACGAAATATCATAAGTAAAGATAACGGATGTCATCTATCATGTGTATAGAATGGATCAGTTATAACTGCAAGAAGGCTGAATTGACACATGTTTTTGTACCAGGTTTAGACATATGTTGCGTTTGATTTCTACTTGCTTAGGTATAGAGGGCACCACATGTAACAAAGTGTTGAGGTGCGACTGTTTGCAAACAGCGCCATGTCGGTAGTGTTATGTATTATGTCAGCAATACCTTAAGCATTGCAGTAAGTCAGTGGCCACATCTAACGCGATATAAAACACCAATTTCCATCTGGGATTCCACCATTTAGATACGCCATATTGGGTAGAGGTTGTGTCTAAAAGTAGGATTTCAGAAAAGGAAATGTTAGATGATGATGCCAATAGTATTGTGCCCAAAGATTTAGACTTGATGTCAAATTCACGTTTGTATTTTCTGATAATATTGTAGTTATTTTAATATCTAGGATTTTTGCTATAAATTTTCACAGAAGTTCCCTTTCATAAAAGCCATTATTACATTATTGATTAATTCATGTGTGGTATTTCAATGTTCTTTTATATTAACCGATGTTTCAAATATGAATTTAAAGCATTATGTGTAACAAAAATATATCCATTACTGGTTATTTGCAGTTTTTATCACAAGATCTACCTTGATCTTAAAGCACAACAACCATTTTCTCAGATGTCCCTCACTCAAAGAGTGAGGCCTGGAATTTGAATTATTTTTAAAATGTCTATGGTTCATTTCACAGTATTACCATCATCTGTTTATACTTCATATAATTAAGTTATATTATCATATCATGTTATGTGAAAGCAACACATACACGGTTTTTCACGTGAGCACCCTATAACATTACATTTTGGGATAGATTCAGGATTATCTCTGTAGTTAGAACGATGAATACTCAACTTTCTTAACGTTTGTGCAATGCGCTGTATCAAATATTTACCAGGAGAAAGTCCCCGGAATTATTTCTGATCTCTAATTGCCTGAATTCAAAACATAGTGGTGCAAACTAAAAAATAGTGTATGTGATGTTTTGAATACAAATATTTTTTGAATCTTAAATTTTTACGCTTTCTTAGTCGTGTGAATGTGGTTTTTACTAGTAAGTTATTTTTAGATCTCCATAGTACTGTAGTAGCACTAATTGTCAAATGACACATTTTAAATTAAATACATTTTGTATAAATTATATTTGTATTTGGATTGATTTCATTTTAAAGTATTTCTTGATTAGTCCTTTTTAAATGTCCAAAATGTGTCTGTAAAAGATGGCTATACATAAAAAATCAAAATTAGGTTTTTCCGACAATCTTTCCTAGAAAATATCAAATGCAAACTTGTGGTTTATGTAATAATACAAAATGAGAAATAGATTAATAATTTGTAATAAAAAACTATAGCAGGTATGCTGTCACTTTGCATATTGTCAGTTGTAAAAAAAATACAAAAAAAAGTTTTTACATTGTGTTTTTGATAAGGAGAGTTTAAGTCTATTTGAATTTTTGTGGCTCTATTATTGTGAATTCATATTTGGACCATATCGTGAAGTTTCTATGTTTTTTAAGTAATAAAAATAACATTCTTTTTTAGAATGAAATTTCAAGTTTTACAGTACTTCGATTTATTGTTAAGACATGTCACATTGAGAAGGTGTCATTGTGTACATAGTACATGGCAATGGTTGCTATAGGAACCCTCCAATGCTGAGTTACCGTAGTAACAGTGAAAATGCATTTAAACAGCAAATAACACTATTTTCTGTATGGAGAAAACATTCCCTTTTGGGGTATAGTTTTGTACAGCTGAGGCCTGGTGTGTGTGCAGCATGTATAAATGTTGTAAATGCTTTATATGTTTGAGGACGAGATGAGTATGGGAGGGGAGGGTGTAACGAACCGAACCATGTACATGGAGACAAAAAGCACCTTTTCATTGTGACATCATATTTGTATTACAAGTAGGAAGTTTGAGAGGATTTTATTCTGTATTGTTTCTAATATATTATGATGTCATTTCCAATTGACTTTATGTATGTCTTATGTTAACTCATTCATAAGGTTGCCCTTGTCCTTATTCCAATGACTCATGGGTAGAAACATACATTATGTTAACTCATTCACAAGGTTACCCTTGTCCTTATTCCAATGACTTCTGGTTAGAAACATACATTATGTTAACTCATTCACAAGGTTACCCTTGTCCTTATTCCAATGACTTCTGGTTAGAAACATACATTATGTTAACTCATTCACAAGGTTACCCTTGTCCTTATTCCAATGACTTCTGGTTAGAAACATACATTATGTTAACTCATTCACAAGGTTACCCTTGTCCTTATTCCAATGACTTCTGGTTAGAAACATACATTATGTTAACTCATTCACAAGGTTACCCTTGTCCTTATTCCAATGACTTCTGGTTAGAAACATACATTATGTTAACACATTCATACGGTTACCCTTGTCCTTATTCCAATAACTTCTGATTAGAAACATACATTATGTAACACATTCATAATGTTACCCTTGTCCTTATTCCAATGACTTCTGGGTAGAAACATACATTATGTTAAATCATTCATACGGTTACCCTTGTCCTTATTCCAATGACTTCTGGGTAGAAACATACATTATGTTAACTCATTCATACGGTTACACTTGTCCTTATTCCAATGACTTCTGGGTAGAAACATACATTATGTTAAATCATTCATACGGTTACCCTTGTCCTTATTCCAATGACTTCTGGGTAGAAACATACATTATGTTAAATCATTCATACGGTTACACTTGTCCTTATTCCAATGACTTCTGGGTAGAAACATGCATTATGTTAAATCATTCATACGGTTACCCTTGTCCTTATTCCAATGACTTCTGGGTAGAAACATACATTATGTTAACTCATTCATACGGTTACACTTGTCCTTATTCCAATGACTTCTGGGTAGAAACATACATTATGTTAACTCATTCATAAGGTTATCCATGTTCTTATTCCAATGACTTCTGGGTAGAAGCTTACATTATGTCATCTCATACTATTATCCCGAGTGAAATCACTCTTCTCTTGATGAAGCAAGATAATGAACTCCTAAGCCAGAGCCACAAACAATGCTAATCCTGCCTCAATGGCCCTTGGCCACTCTAATCCAATAATGTATTTCTTTTGTCCACAGTGGGCAATCCTTTTGATAACTGCACTTTTCAGTTTTTCTCACCATCATTGGAATTTCCCCAGATTTTGTAGATGTTACATAAATTGTAGCTATTGTAACACTTACTGTTATCAGTAATGATACCACCATGAGTGATAACATATTGTTATAGTTGAACTTTATAAGTGGACGGTGTGGACATCTGTAACCAATGGCAGGTGGTGACATTTGGCATGTTAACGTCTTGTTTGTCACTGTTGCGCTTCTCAAAAAATATTACAACAGTCCTACTAATCAGAAATGTCATGAGTTTATTAGAATTAAAAAGAGAACCAAACTCTATTTTTTCAGAATCAATGTTATAAAAAGGGGATTGTGAGCAATAGACTGCCAATGTATCCTGTCACCTTTTGACATACTAAAGAAGCTATGATATATTTGCTAGATTGAAGTCCTAGATAGCACTTTTCAGAATTAGTACAGGTAAAATGTTTATCCTATTTTTGCTAAGACATACTGCCACCTAATACAAATGACAATCAATTATTTGCCAATATAGCTTATTTGATATTTCAAAAGGTGGAGGGTTTATTGGAAAGGTCTATTATAACAATGTTTTAGAAAGTTAACTCTCAACCTTTTCTAGTCTTTGTTCCCCCTTTAATTGTTATCACATAAACACAGGTTACTTCAACTTTCAACCTGGAATTAGTACCCTCTATTATAAGGAATACATCAAACATAAATATCTATTCCAGTTAATTCAGCTATTTAAATCCGCCATTTAAAATTCCATTCTTCTGAAATAGGCCGACTTAAAAAAAATAGAAACAGCAATTTCATTATCCAATATTTTATTGAATTATGACTTGATTTTAAAGTGTGAAGCTATGTTCAGTTGAGTAGTTTGCTTGCATGCTTATAATTACAATATTAAACATGTTTAAATGTCATGCCGTGATAACTAAATTGAATTAAACTAAGTAGTATTAGGTCTAAAGATATCATTCAACTGAGCTAACATAGGCTAAATTTATATATTTATATGTACTGTACAATACAAAATTGACCTTGGTATCAACCTTAATATTAATTCAAGATATAAAAGTATATTTATTGGACTGCATTAATAGCGGAGTAAGAGGAGGGAAAGCCCCAGAGTTTCAAGATGCCAGACATAATTACCTCTCTTGCTTACCACCTTCGTTCGTTCGAATTTTCATCGGCTAGTTATCAAATACTACACTTCGATGGGATGTTATAATTGATATAGGCATATTCCGTACACCTTTCTTTATCTTGATGTTAAATGAGAAGCTATGATATTGGTTAACACCCCAGAAATGAACATAATATTATTCGAAGCGTATTTCGAAAATTTTGAAACCGCCATTGATGACGTCATTTGTTTGTCGACTTTTGACCAATCAGCGACCGTGTCATCTCAATACAGATTTACATTATAAGCGTATGTCATCTTTGAACCCTGGTGTTTCTCCCCCTCTGTAGCGGAGTTAATGCTAGAGGCTTACTATAACTGCAGTACCATCTATGAATAAGTTAACTGTTGAAATCCAATAACTATTTATTGTACGTAAAGAGGTCGTACTGAATAACCCATTCTTCATATCTTTGTGTTTAGATTTGCTATTGGCAGCTGTTCAGGTCAAGTTGACTTAAGTACTGGTTCACTATTGTATTGATTCAGTCCGTTATAGCGTTGTTTTCCATTGATATTTTAAACGATTATGCCCTTAAAACAAATCTTTATATGTAAATGAAAATATTACAATCTTGAATTAAAACTGATATATGTTAATGTTAAATTAGAATAAAAAATGATATAATAGATTTGTATATAAAGCTAGCTTTATATCTGAATAGTAAAGGAAAATAATCAAATCTTGACAATTTCCTATAGGTTCTTATACACACATATTTCAATATTTAGTATCGCTTCTCGGCCTTTTGGCTAAGATCAAAGTGTAGTATCTGTTCTTATCAGCTTAATATCTGATACGATGTCCATTGGACATCTTCGATATTAAACTGATTTTTGTACCTGGGCGAAGTGTAAGGGGCTTGCTCCACCTTTGCCATGGGTTGGCCCGGTATTGCAGTACCTCCGGGATCGGCCCACTCCCCTTGGGGAGAACAAACAACAAAGTTAATATCCCATCCCAAGACAACAATCCCTTTCAAAACCTCTACAGTATAATCCACTTCACGTTTTACTTTCACAAAGAAGTTAATTACTACTTCATCTTATAATAATAATTATCCCCTTATTGAGCCCCTCAAGGAATTGCATGCACACTTTAATAAATTCTCTAATCAGGTTTGAAAGTTGATTTGACATGCATCAATCTTTTTTACAAAGCTATCACAAAAGGTAGGCGAGATAATTGGGATGAGACTTTGATGCAGGATTTAACAGTTTAACTAAAAAAAATAGCACAAGTCAAGAGTAGGAAAACAAAACTCAGTTGATGAACCTGAAATGTTACACAATATACTCATAAATAATCTTGATTTACAAATGAAAAGGCTCTCATTGGAGAATTCCAGCGAATTGAAGCATTTGGGTGGCTACTTTTGATTTGTAAAGCAATACAATATTCGTCAACTGCTCTAAAATACAATATATATTCTGATATTATACCTTCAACTTATAGCTACTATATAACTACTTTAAAAAGATCTCAAAACTTTTCAGAAGCTCTGCACTTTTTTATCAAATTTAATTTTCTGAGGCATAATTCAGTAAAATGATATAATATTTGTGATCTACTCTAAAACTACCTTAAATCTGAGTAAATATCTCACTCCAAAAAAAGAAAATAACCCAACATAACTTCTATGTGTATATTTTAAAAATAATATATTTTTGGTAATACATGCTGAATTTTGCACTATTTTACCATACATGATATTCAATTCCTCACAAATACCATGATTTAAAACAAAACAAGTAATAAAAACTCCAATAATAACACCTTCATCCTTCATATTACTCATGGAATGTAGTATTTTGACTTTGTAATATTTAGGAAGTACAGTATACAATATATAATGTGTAAAGTAATACTAAATAAAAATACATATGAAACTACTTTTTTGCTTGGTTAAAGCTGATAAGGTATTTCAATTTTTTAAATATTATACAAAAATAGCATACTATTGAGGGAATACCTGTTCATTTTTCAATGATTCAAGCAAGATATATACCCCAAGCTCAAAGGACCAGGGGAATATACCCTGCAGAATCATTGAAAGTGCAATAGGTTCACTAGAAATAGTATGAATTTTTTTTATTATTCACTGTTATATTCACCACTCTCTTATTCAGTTATTAGTCTTATAAACACAAGAATGATTAGAACTCATCAATGTATGTTCTTTTTAACAATATGTAGATAGTAAACACAATATTATGTAAACATGAAATACAATAAATAGGATCAATCTTTAAATCGCTTCAATTTCTGAAATGGTGAAAGAAAATGTAAATAACTCCAAAAATTAATTGCTTCATATATACATTTATCGTCACTTTGCAATTGGTAATAGTAAAACGATTTTAGATTTACACTGGACAAAAAATGCCAGGCAGGTGAATATGAATACCCCTTTTTACTGACATCACAGAATTGTCAGGATGTATGGTATAGAGTCAGAAATATGATAGTGATATAATAATGATAATGATAAATATACTGCAGTATAATAGAGATATTTTTCCTGAACACATGTTCATGTTTATGCTATAACTATAAATAGTATAAATATAAGTGGTATTATATTTTGAAGGAATTTATAAAATTATAATAAATAAGCATTAGAAATCCCTCCAACCTTAACATCTTTAACTCGAAACCGTATTCCTGTTAAATATAATAATCACACACAACCAACACCCTTTAAACTACATATAACTAAGACTTATAATCCAACTGATTGGATCAGGTTAATCAAAATGTCTAACACCACTTGAGGAACTACATGTAGGCACAATCCGAAACACTATGCAATAAATATCACTTTTGGTAATAGGTACAATCCAAAACACTGTGTGGTAAATATCACTTTTGATAATAGGTACAATCTGAAACACTGTGTGGTAAATATCACTTTTGGTAATAGGTACAATCCAAAACACTTTGTGATAAATATCACTTTTGGTAATAGGTACAATCCGAAATACTGCGAGATAAATATCACTTCTGGTAATAGATAAAGCCAATAGCATTGTGTGATAAATATCACTTTAGGTGCGAGGTAAAACCAAATACATTTTGGAAAAATATAACTTATGCGCAAACAAAACGAAAATTGTGTGATCAATATCACTTAAAGCCCCCATATAAAGTTTAAACCACTTTGAATTATATTGTAGTCTTACCCAACGTTATCAAAGTGTCATATGTTAAACTTTTTATTTAAATTTCAAAAAGTGGTTTTTGAAGGATTTTTTGTTCGAAAAATCGTAAAATTTCTTTAAAACTTTTCTTAAATGTATGGTGGAACATTTGATGATTAAAAAATGAAAAGGTGCCAACTTTTTTTCAAAAAATATCTAAAATAACTTTTAAAGTCATGACAAATAGTAAATGAATGATAAAAAAACATATTTTCAAACATTACAAGGGGACTTTAAGTCACAAGCAAAAATAGAAAAAAAAATATATATATCATTTTTGGCACAAGCAAAAACAGTCTGTGATAAGTATCACTTTAGGTACTAGGTACAATCAAAACATTGTGTGATAAATATCACTTTTGGTAATAGGTACAATCCGAAACACTGTGTGATAAATATCACTTTTGGTACTAGGTACAATCAAAACATTGTGTGATAAATATCACTTTTGGTAATAGGTACAATCCGAAACACTGTGTGATAAATATCACTTTTGGTACTAGGTACAATCAAAACATTGTGTGATAAATATCACTTTTGGTAATAGGTACAATCCGAAACACTGTGTGATAAATATCACTTTTGGTACTAGGTACAATCAAAACATTGTGTGATAAATATCACTTTTGGTAATAGGTACAATCAAAACATTGTGTGATAAATATCACTTTTGGTAATAGGTACAATCCGAAACACTGTGTGATAAATATCACTTTTGGTACTAGGTACAATCAAAACATTGTGTGATAAATATCACTTTTGGTAATAGGTACAATCCGAAACACTGTGTGATAAATATCACTTTTGGTACTAGGTACAATCAAAACATTGTGTGATAAATATCACTTTTGGTAATAGGTACAATCCGAAACACTGTGTGATAAATATCACTTTTGGTACTAGGTACAATCAAAACATTGTGTGATAAATATCACTTTTGGTAATAGGTACAATCCGAAACACTGTGTGATAAATATCACTTTTGGTACTAGGTACAATCAAAACATTGTGTGATAAATATCACTTTTGGTAATAGGTACAATCCGAAACACTGTGTGATAAATATCACTTTTGGTACTAGGTACAATCAAAACATTGTGTGATAAATATCACTTTTGGTAATAGGTACAATCAAAACATTGTGTGATAAATATCACTTTTGGTAATAGGTACAATCCGAAACACTGTGTGATAAATATCACTTTTGGTACTAGGTACAATCAAAACATTGTGTGATAAATATCACTTTTGGTAATAGGTACAATCCGAAACACTGTGTGATAAATATCACTTTTGGTAATAGGTACAATCCGAAACACTGTGTGATAAATATCACTTTTGGAACTAGGTACAATCCAAAACACTGTGTGGTAAATATCACTTTTGAAAATAGGTACAATCCGAAACACTGTGTGGTAAATATCACTTTTGGTAATAGGTACAATCCAAAACATTGTGTGATAAATATCACTTTTGGTAATAGGTACAATCCAAAACATTATGTGATAAATATCACTTTTGGTAATAGGTACAATCCGAAATACTGCGAGATAAATATCACTTCTGGTAATAGATACAGCCAATAGCATTGTGTGATAAATATCACTTTTGGTAATAGGTACAATCCAAAACATTATGTGATAAATATATAGTTGTTATGCATTCTTTTTCTGAAAAGAAACTACTTAGATAAAATCTTTTTTTCACAAGTTTTGTCTTTTTTGGCAACAAAATTTTCTTTTTTATGTGACTGTGATTGTAATCAAATAATTTAACTTAATTTGAGCCCACAAGAAATCCAAATCCTTGGATGGCCCTTGTGTATGAAGACATGCCTTTAAAGCAACCAGTTCAAGGATGTTTAATTCAAAGGCGCAATGGATTGTTGTTTCAAAAATCTTTACAGTTGCATACATCCTGATTTCCAGTGGAACACTAACATTCAAGAGAAAACACAATTCAGATTTTTTGAACTTAATACAGGATTTGATGTCTCTCTCATTTTCTTAAATCCTTGATATGAATTGATTCTACACGAGAGAAAGCTGAGATTTCTAATCACATAGAGCCAATGGCTTGTAAAGTAGCATGGCTCCTTTCTTATAAAGTCTGATACAAAAATATTTGAAGATTGAAAGATCTTTTTATATTTTGAATTCCAGTGAATACCTCACATTCCAGGGGTAACACTTTTCAATTTAATTTTTCTAAATGTGCTTTAAAATCCTTAATAGACGACTATAAGATTTTTCTACTGTTACACACGTGTATAGCATCTTTATGCTACTCTAATTTGACCCAATATTCAATCCCTGATGAGAATATGTTTCAGGTTGACCTTAATTTAGGGCATGCGAATGGCTTGTCAAACAGCTCCTGCACTTGTTCTAATGTCTTGCCTTTAGTCTCTGGTAGAGTTATGGCCAAATACACTAATCCAATGAATGTAAATCCTGAATACAGGTAAAAAGCACCTGAAAAATAATAATAAAGGATTGAGACAGCATTTCACAGCCTTTACTACAAATTCATTCTACTTCTTTTTCATAATTTTTTTTAGATATACGAAATGCTCTAATATGGGTTTGCCACATGATGCATTATTCCAAAAGATTTCTATTGATTTTAAGATACAAGAATTAAATCAGATTTCCTCTACACATAATATTTAATAGGAAATTGCTCTAATTTGGCGCTATTTAACTTGGCGGATTTGGCTTTTGAAATTTTGGCTGCTGTTTAATTTGGTGGATTGACCATCATTGATCATATTACTCACTTCACAGCTCGCCATAATTAACGAAATTTTATCACTCCCGGTATCAGAGTGTTTTTTATCTTATTTATCTTAACCAACTTTAGGTCACAAGAAATAGTTTAAAATTGACATTTATCCATGTTTCAATCAAGATTTTCACCATAGTTTTATTGTGAAAGGTAACACATGGAAAAGGGACAGAACAAAAATCCCCGGAATTTCATTTTTGAAAAATTGGTGGAGACTTAATTTTGCACTTTTGATATATCCCCAAAATTAAAAAGGCCGTGAAATTAAAGCAATTTACAGTATAATGATTTGATGGTAATGACCTAAAGAAAACACTTACCATATTTAGTGAGTGCTTCAGTGAGGCTGAGGAATGTCATGGAGATCAGGAGATTAAAGATCCAATTGCAAGATGTGGCAACTGCATTACCAGTGCTCCTGGCCCATAATGGGTAAATCTCAGAGTTGATGGTCCATGGCATAGGACCCATACCTGGAATATATCAAAAAGGGTTTTACATTTTAATTCATCTCCAGGACCTCTGCAATAAAGTTCTAGATACAAAATACAGAAATATCCATCTCGGTCAGTAGGCATTGGATAATGAATACATGTTCATTCTATAAAGGTATGATTATTTTCCTATTTTATTCCTTTTTCAATGATGTATTAACCAAACCCCCCATACTGTTCAGGTGCTATGCATGTAGGAGGAATGTATTCACAGCCATAGCTTTGTGACTCACCAGGAGAAAAGGAGGCAAGATAAACAACCAATCCAAACATTGTTATCCATGAATACTTAGTTGGGCAGAAATCTGGAGCCCATACAAGATCCTTTGAAGTTGTAGCGGAAGTATTGCATCGTCCTATTGCTGATTGATGAAAGACTGAAGAACGAGGGAGACAAGAGCCGTTAGCTGCTCCTGAAGGAGTATCTAGATAGCAGAAGCCACACTGTCCAAAACTACTGATACATCCATCACAGTTGCTGCAAATATAAATGATTGTACATGTACCCTAAATGCTAGGTAATTTGTCACTCTATTTTTATAATTCTAATAAATTTTCAATTAATTTTTTATCATTTTGTATACCCAGTATGAATATATTCATTCATACATAAACATAAGCTCATACTGTTTCCAAAATTCTTCTGCTGTTTAACTGTTTCATATAGGCTTTGAAAGAGAAGAAACAAAATTATAAATTACAAAATGAAATACCTGTATGTTGTACATGGGTTATTGCTGACACCCATGTCCTGGTATGTGATAGCTGGAGAAAAGTAGGCAGCAAACTGGAACCCAAGGGCCAGAACTAGAAGAGCACATAGGACACCTGAAATAATAAGATATTGTAAGGGCCAACATTTAATTAAGGAGGGAGGGGAGAGTAATGGAAGATACATTTAGCTTATGCTTATCATATTCAACATACAGAATTGGAACTAGTCCTTTATTTCATTGCTGAAGTAACCAATATTGCGCAAAATCTTTAATAAATCAATCGAACAAAAATCAATTTTATTTATTTGCTGATACCATCAAAATTGCTCATTTATTCTTTGAAAAGTATCATATTTGAAGAAGATGACATCCAAAAGAAATTTTGAACTTAGCAATATACCTGTTGTGCTGCCCAACAGGAGAGAACGTCTCCCTTTCCTCTCCACCAACCATATACCAACGAAGGTAAATATGAAGTTGACGCCTGCCGTCACTGCGGCTAGCCATATTGCAACAGATGGGTCCCGGATACCTGAGAGTTTGAGTATTGTCGCGCTGTAATACCTAGAATAATTAATAAAAATACAATGAAACCTGTACATTTACTTTTTCCACATTTATTTCAAAATCTAAAACTTGCAATGGTTGGCGACTTACATCACAGTATTAATTCCTGCGAGCTGTTGGAATATCTGCAGTCCACACCCCACCATAAGAGCACGACGCACTGATGGGTTTCGCAACATCTGGCATATGATTGGACCACCAACTACAACACAGGTGACAACAAAAATGCTTTAAATGTATGTATTGTGGCTTTAGGTTTAATACATACACTTCCTGAAATAATTTAGAAGTCCTTGATCAGGACAACTTTGTTGTGCTTAAAGGGGCAACAAGGACTGTAGAGAGAAAATTCGAATTTTTTTATTTTTTCTGAGCTATCAGGTCAATATTTGGCTTAACATACCTATTTTCTTAAAATGTATGGATAAACTCTCAATTTCAGCATTAAGAATTGTAAATTCAGTACAAAGCTTCTATAAAGGGAGTCCCACTTGTAGATTCTTAAGATTCACCACGTTTCAAGAGGAATATCAGCTGAAATAATGTTCATCCAGGTGGTTTCTTTGTAGATAATAAAAATATATGTTAGTCTTGATGAAATATCCAAACTTAAATATATTTTGACACTGGTTGATGAATGTTGAATGACCCCCCCTTGCACTAATTGTTGCACCTTTAAATTTTAAACCTTTCGGGACTAAAAAGCCATTCTTATATTATTTACAATATCCAGCATAGAATCTCACGACTCTATTGAAATTAAATACTGTATATGATCAAAATGATTTTAATTTTTGCAAAAAATATCCTTACCTGATCTCTGTTCAAGCTCCACTGTGCTCTCCTGGAATGACAGAACAATACCCCCTAGCTCTTCCTCCACTTGATCATACCCCCTGATCTTCTTTAACACTGCTCTAGCTTCCTCTTTGCGGCCTTTGCTGATTAACCATCTTGGACTCTCTGGCATATACCAGAATCCTATAAACTGTAAAACTGCAGGCACAGCAGCTAGGCCAAGCATGAACCTGTAATGTTTGTATGAAAATCAATTTAAGCAGAATTCACATAACCCTAAATTCATGTCTGCAGTACAATGTATATTCAATAAATGATATACACTGATTATATATGGGACAACAATCATTGTTGTTAAGAAATGAAGGGGAAATCTCTCCTTCCCTTGATTGACTTTGACTCTTTCCCTATATTGGCCTTGAATCTTTCCCTATATTAGCTTTGACTCTTTCCCTTTATTGAGTTTGACTCTCCCTTTATTGGCTTTGACCGTTTCCCTTTATTGACTTTGACTCTTTCCTTTTATCGGCATTGGCTCTTTCCCTTTATTGACTTAAAGTCATTCTCTTTATTGGCTTCAACTCTTTTCCTATATTGGCCTTGAATCTATCTCTATTAGCTTTGACTCTTTCTCTTTTTGACTCTTTCTCTTTTTGACTTTGACCCTTTCCCTTTATTGGCTTTGACTCTTTCCCTTTCTTGGCTTTGACTCTTTCCTTATATTGGCTTTGACTCTTTCCTTATACTAGCTTTTACTCTTTCACTATATTGACTTTGACACTTAGTTCTTAAAATTCAAAAAGGATATCTTACCGCCATCCATTCTTGCGATCATAACTGAACAAGCCATCAATGATACCAGCCATGAACATGCCAAATGTTATGGCTAATTGGTTTGTCATGGTAATTCTGCCTCTCATGTGACTTGGAGCAGTCTCGGCCAAGTACATTGGAACTGTCATTGATGAAATGCCTACAAGTTTAAATGAATATCTATTATCCAATCGCCTCTGGTTATTAATAAGTATTATAATCAAAACTGAGACATTCTTATCATCATTTACGCAATCCAGCGAGCACAAGGTAGTCAATGTCCCAAAAAATGGCAGAGGTACAGATCAATGATCATTTCTGCCAATCAAAAGTATTCATGCAAATGAAAGGTTGACCTTTTTGTAATACACCCAAGGATAACATTCAGTTCAAAAAGCTTTACTACATCAAAGAGAATTGTATGATGATGAACTGCACAAAGTTTTACTCACCAATCCCAATGCCTAGAATGGTTCTCCCAAGTACCAACATGGTTGTATTCTGTGCAGCTCCTAACACGACACCGCCTATAGTGAACACGCAACATCCAAACAAAACAGTTGGTTTCCTACCCAGTCTATCATTCATAAAGCCACCTATTATTGCAAAACATGCAGCGACACCTATCGTCACACTCACGATAACTTCCTGCCATAAGGAACTCAGATTGAAAACTTCAGTAATGAGGAGCATAGCCCCAGATACAACCCCCGTGTCATATCCAAATAGGAAGCCACCTATAGAGGCAAACAGAGTCAGGACGTATACAAAACCTGGAGTATGTTCTGGTAATGGATCTTTTCTAAGGGAGACTTCATCGACCTCTGAACCATAATCATCTATATCGGAATTAACAGCACTAAGCAATGGTGTTTTGTCACCAGGTTTCTTAGGCTTAACATCTGCAACTTCAGTTAGTTCAGCCATTTTATTGTCTATTTATTGTCATAATCACATCAATCAGATCTCAGTTGTTAAATACAAAACAAGAACATATTACATGCTGGTAGACGCTGTCTTCATAATCCAAGTTGTTATTGATAACAGGTTTCTATCCTTAATGACAATTCACTCCACTCCATGTCTTTGACTCTCTGTATTTTCATTCTGGCTTGGAATATCATCTGAAAATAAATTTTATATTCATCAGATTAGTCAGCTGACATAAAAGTTGCTTATATCTGCTGATTCAGTAAACATCCGCTCATAATATCAAATGGATACTTTGAGTGGATACATATACATTAAAAATTTCATTTTGATATACAATTTCTTAACAGCTGCATAATTCATAATACCAGCAAGCATTTCCTGAACACAAATGAGGAATTGTTATTAGTTTTACTGAGTTGGAAATAAATCAAATAATCATAACATATCAGGATTGATCATAGATGGTCTATCTTCTTATATTAGGGTATATATATTGATATATAGTGGGAATTAATTTCAATAATGCAGCAATCAGTTATACAGTCAAGCCTCTTGAGGGATTTCTTAAATAATCTCTCAAGAAGTATTGAAGTAAGTAATCAAATAAAAGGTTATATTTAATTTGTTTCCTTTAGCAATGCAATCATGTTCAAAAGCCATACACTATTGTAGAGATGAATATCTATAAGCTGACCTAATTTATATTGAACTACATGTATTCTTTAAAACTCATCTCAATAACAAACATGTTGAGAGTCAGTTAATGGATTTTAAGGAGCATCATGGCATGACAGAGCTAAAGAAACAAAAACTTTTGTTTTCATTATATTAGAAAATGAGAATCATAATTGAAAATAAAAATTATAATTTACTTCATCAATTACACATTTTGATTCAATATGATTTAAATACAAACAATGAATACTAGTATTATATGGGGCAGAGCGAATCTCTTAATTCAAAGAGCTGAAAAATATATATACTCATAATGTTTAAGTTTCATTAAGTTTGATGTTAAAATAGAAAAAACTGTTTTGAGAAAAGTACTTTTTTCCTTCTTTTGGCAGCCAATTTTGTTTGAGCCAATTTTTCCAAAATGTGTTGCTTTTTGGTTTTAGTATTTATTTAAAGAATATTTTGTGCAATTTCAGAAATTTTGAATAAGTTACATACTATTCATCGAAAAAAATGTCTCAAAATCTTCATTTGGTAACAATTTTTTTTATCGAACTTAAATTTTCATTGTTCTATGTACTCTTTATAGTTTTTTTTCATTTAAAAAAAACAGCAAAATATATACTGTACGCCAGGTATTATCCGCGTGCGATTAACTTTCGCGCTTTTCGCGATGGTGTTAAAATCGCGAAAAATTATCGTCGCGAAATTGCCAATTAAATCCCCGGGAATTTGTTATTACCCGGGGCTCTGATGCATTTCGATTTGTGTCTAGTGTTATTGGGCGATAATTGGATATCCACGATCTTCAGGACTTCAGTAATGTCCATTTTACGTTGGCTGATTCGGCCCAGTACCACCAGTAGGCCCAATAATGATATCGATGACATCATTGCAAATGAAGTGCAAATTGCAAAAGATAACATGAAGTCCAATTCCAAACGCGGGACATATAAGGTGTATAACGATGCAGAAAGGGCAAACATAGCCCGGCACGCATTACTGAATGGCAATTCAAGCGCTGCTAAACACTTCAACTTGTGAAATTCGCGAAATTTAGTAGCCGCGAAACCGTGTTTTCGCAAAAATCTCGAAATTAAAGCTCGCGAATAATACCGGGCGTAGAGTAACACATATCAGGCCCGTAGCCAGGGGGGGTTCGCAGGGTTCGGGCGAACCCCCCCCTGGCCAAAAATTCTTTCAAAATCATGCAGTTTTTGACCATTTTGAGCACTTCTCAAGTGATTTTAGACTAATTTGGGCCAAAATTGTCAAATGTGAACCCCCCCTGAAAATTTTTGAAAATTGAACCCCCCCTTGGCAAATCCTGGCTACGGGCCTGCATATAAACATATAACAGTAAGTGTGTGTATAATACAAAATCATTTTCAAAAATCAATCAGTTTTTAAAATGCAATCAGCTAAAAATAAATGCTGGCATTAAGAGGAGGGAAAGCCCCAGAGTTTCAAGATGACAGACATAATTACCTCTCTTGCTTACCACCTTCGTTCGTTCGAATTTTCATCGGCTAGTTATCAAATACTACACTTCGATGGGATGTTATAATTGATATAGGCATATTCCGTACACCTTTCTTTATCTTGATGTGAAATGAGAAGCTATGATATTGGTTAACACGCCAGAAATGAACATAATATTATTCGAAGCGTATTTCGAAAATTTTGAAACCGCCATTGATGACGTCATTTGTTTGTCGACTTTTGACCAATCAGCGACCGTGTCATCTCAATACAGATTTACATTATAAGCGTATGTCATCTTTGAACCCTGGTGTTTCTCCCCCTCTGGCTGGCATAGTTCTGCTTACCAACAGCAATGCAAATTTCATGTTGGATAGTTTCCTTAGATGCAACCTTTGTTAGTCTAGGATTACCAAATAAAATGTCATTACAGGTTATACCTGGGAAATTATCCCATTATCTTACTAATTTGCATTCATAAAAATAATGTAATAGTTGGCTTGCACTAAACAGTTTTTACAGAGTTCATCTTGTACTTCCTCAATTTGATATGTGTACAATTTAATTTTCTGGTAGGAAATATTAGATACATTTTCCGCTGCAATTCAATCATTTTTGTTTCTTTAAATAATTCTGTTGTAAGGGTCCATTATTTTTCACTAATTATTACAATTCTTTTACAAAGTTATAATATTGCATAAACACCAGTGAAACAACAGAATTAAATGGAATTATCAGGAAGAGTTTGAAAATTTTAGTCTTGACTCTATTTTCAATTTTTATATTCACTTCCTAACTAAAATTAATTAGGTTTTTTGATAGACATTGACATATTGACACGGCTCGGCTACTAAGGTCATTCTGACCATGACCAATGTGATCCTGGTCATGTAAATGATACAGAGCAGTAAAACTGACTGTTCAAAGGTTTAACTTGTACCAAGACAATCTCTTCGTTCAGAACGTTAATTGAAGGCCAAAACAGAACTCTGTTATCTCAGTTAAAAAATGTTTTTACATTTCCTGTTTGGTGTAATTTTCTACACCGGCACCTAATAGAGATGGGTGTGGCGCATTGATAAGTCTACATGTAAATAACTCCTCGACACATCAAAATTAGGTAATATTTAGGGTGTGACATAAAGCATTCTCTTCTGAAAGTAAGACACTTCTTCTGATCAGGACTAACCTTCAGTCACAGGAATTCGTCTAGAAGGAAAAAGAAGTCAAACCTTGACTCAATAAGCATATAAAAGTAAAAAGGAAATTATCCTCGTAAAGTTACCACATTTTGATCAAGGCCAAAAAATGCAGGGAAATGTAAAAAATATTCATACTGCAGCACCTCATTGGATAGGTTATAAGCACATAAATGCAATAAGATGAAGAAAATTGTGTTTAGACGCCTTAACAGTGATATTTTGTAAAAAAATGTGAAACTGACAAGTTTTTTCGAAAACATAATCAACCCGTATTTTGATAACTTTCTACCAATTACATTTTCCTTTTCTGACGTTATTTTCTCAGCTGTGACTTGCATGATTTTCCAGATCATTCACTTATATTGACAACTTACTATTGTTGTTGAAAATTATATCCGTTTCCTTACGAATTTTACTTACGTTTCAGAAATATCCATCTCAACAAAACCATCATAACATCACAAATATTCATAGATTTCGCCATTGTAGCACAGAGACATGTAGCACTATGATATGAGATGAGCACTATGATAGGCCCTATAAGAAGTATATAAAGCCCCATATCAGGCAGCCCCATATCAGTCATCATAAACAATACCATATAAGGTGCTACAAGATCCTGTGCATTGTAGTTTCAATTGGTGCTATATTACAGGTAAGACCCCTTCCCTGTGGCCTTCAGTGACGTGTACAGTGGGGATAATAAAGAATTGCAAAAGCTATGAAAAGTACATGCTGTCGCACATGTAATAAATTCTTACCTCAGTGTATTCAGTGCTCTATTTTCTCCGTCTTAGTAAGTCCAAATATAGTGGAATTTTTGTCCCTAATGACAAATAATAACTTCAAAAGTTGAATTGGATATTCACATGTTATGCCGACTCTTCAAATGTTGAGGTGATTTTGTCGCCCGATTGCGCCAGAACGGAGGATTGGCTCCCAGAATGCAACATGACACGTGCCAGCTTTCAAAATGCTGTTCCGCCTTTTTGAAACCTGTCATGAGTAAATACGGTTAACTGATGTTGCATTCTGGGAGTCAACCGTCCTTGGATAACAAACATGGCGATTCATGAAAACATTCATTCGATTCGGTAGGGATTTATCCATTATTTGCAGGTATGAAGATTTGGATTCATTTATTGTGCTACTTTAGTGAATGGGAATTATTTTTCTACCGCTTGGGAGAGTTTGAGACACGAAACTTGGAAATAAGCTCATTGTGACAACTTGTGAACGTTGAGTTTTATTTTTGTCCCCCACTGTAAACAGATGGATCTTGATAGCACAGTCAGCACTATCAATGGTATATTCTAAAAATATAGGGAATATAATAGAGAAAAGTCCATAAGGCGTTTGTGACAAAATTTCCCGGAAGTGTTATATTTCCATTTATCGTTCAAACTGAGACATTTATGCTAATAATTCGACGTGTATATGATTCTTACATACCCAATACGATCAAAAATGTTACTAACATACCAAATGAAAGGTGATTTCCTGGTCAAACTTGCAAAAGTTGGTCCAAACTCGCACTTGAACCGAATATTTACCGGAAGTGTTTATATTTCCATTTGGGTGTCACTACGGTAAATCATTGAAAAATATTGAAAAATCACAAAATTCAGGTTCTGGGATACATATCGCCATTTTCGAACGAATTAGCCCATACAAGAACTATATTTCTGCGTTCCCCTATACATGACCTTCATCTTGACCATATATTTAACATAGGGTTTGCGTCTTGATTTTTAAATATCACTACGCCAACACAGGGACTCATTTTTAGGTAAAATCCCTGCTTCACCGATGAAAATTAACGAATAAAGTAGTTCAAGTTTACGGGACTATATTCTTGCGATTTTTTTCTAAAAATGGCACATTTAGAAAGTAATTGGCCTCAGCTTTACATACATACCTCAAATGGCCACATTGCATACACTTAAACCTACTATACACACCATTGAAGTTTCATGGCTTCGTTTTTAAAGTATTAAAAAACACTACCCGGAAGTGGTATTTACCGTAGTAACACCTTAATATCCAAAAATGGGAAAATTTTACTATGATAATTTTTGCTCATTCAGCATTTTTTCAAACAATTGAGTTATTTCATGCTCAAAACAGCTGCATTTTCAAACTTTTAACACATTTTCTACAAAATCTAGTCATATTTGGGGAAATAAGTGAGGGCTGAGTCTCTAAAAACTGGCCAAAATGACCTAAACTTGGGTTATCAACTTCAGAGATCTCATGGAAAAAATTTAGACGCAAAATCCCCGAGATTATTTCATTTTGAAATCATACACAGAATGTACTGAAACGTATGTTGTTAAATGCAAATATTTTGAGTCAAATGTGGTCCCCATGTGCAAAATTTGCCCTTTTTCTCCCCCTTTACGCCAGTTAGGCCCCAGTGTACTGTGACATCATACTCATACCATTGCTACAATGTAGCAATTTACAAATTAATCATGATTACTCTTCCTGTGATACACCTGTGGTAGTTGAACACTGTTTATTCCCCAGTGTGTTGATTGATTACATGCCAGCTTACTTAGTTACTTACTAAGTACGCAATAACCACCATCAAAGACCTGCCGGCACCTATTTATTTTCGGGTTGGTAATGGAATTTTACATGGGCAATACGAGAAGAATTCAATTTTTCATTATTTAATGATAATTGCGGTAGATTTTACGGTAGTTTGAACAAGAATACTGTTAATTCAAGCAGAAATATGGTAGATTTTCAAATATTTACGGTATATTTTACGGCCGTTCTTATAGAAAAAATCTAATTATAATAAAATATTTTATGGTAGATTTTGGTAAAATTACAGTAGATTTTTTCGGTTGTTTTACAAGAAAAAACAGTAATTTTTTACGGTATTTATATTATTTTTTATGGTAAAAATACGGTAGGTTGGCAGGTATGAGTTACCATTGCAACCGTGGAAATGGGTAAAAATGAGAGCAAAAAACACCCAGACCCGCCATAATGGCACTAATTTTCAAAATATTTCGAGGCATACACATTTTCTTAAACTTTGATATCGTCTAGAACACTTCTAGACAACAAAAATATCAAAAATGGGGGGAAGGCAGGGTCGGATCTGAGAACCAACAAGGAGGGGGGGGGCCAAATTTCAGGTCAGAAAAAAATTTGGGGCCCCTGAAACCAAAAAGTGGGCCCAAATTTTGAGGCCCATTTTCTTCAAAATTTGGCCTGAAATTAAAAAATAAGGCCTTAAAAGGCCCAGTTATGACCAAAAAGGCCCACTATTTGGGGCCTTAAGGCCTTTTTGGCGGGCCCCCAGCCCCCCCCTCCTAATCCGCCAGTGGAAGGTTTATCACTTCAATTATTTTCAAGCCTTGGTCAAAGTAAAACTACGAAAAAAGCACTCATTTTCACTTTAGAATCACCTATTATCGCCCAAATGGCTATATGTTGTCAAGGTCGCCATGTTAAAAGTAGAATTAGAATGCTCTTCAGACAATGTTTGATAGCTTTCCTTTATCACGGAACAAAGACCTTTGCACCGGTATGCCCATTTCCATGAGATAATGCACGTGAAAGAGGAACAGTGTCTTTAAATGTCATCAAAACTTTTTCGCACTACTTTTGGTGTAATAATACCATCTGATTGATTGTTGGTGTAAACAACGAGTCGGGTTAATCTGCACGAGGTTCGGTTTTTCATTAAGGGAAGTACTTTATTCCCATGATTCAAAGTGCTTTTCTGCCATTGGTTCGGTTTAAGTTTGTACAACAAACGTCCACGAATCCAGGGCAGGTTGACATTATATCATTACATTTGTTTTGGGTGTATAGTTTTTGTTTTGACAATAAACAAAAAAAATCCCGCAATATATGGTGCATCATGGGTAGGACACGCTGTGAAATATGAACGTAAGTGACATCTATGTCAAATTAAATGTTCCTACAAAGTTATTAATCGCGCATGCGTCATGATAACTTAAACCAATCAGATTACTGGGTTTAATGCGCACGCGCCATAAACCGAATACTTTCCCGGGATTCGGGCTTTAGGATATGATTTTACACTGACCGATTGCAAACGAGATTTAGCGAGATGAAGCGGTTGTGAAACCAAGATGGCAGAAAGTTTGTGAACTTCTAGTATTATTATATCTTAAGGTAGAGTATACCATTGATAGTGCTGACTTTGTCTGACCCATATTCTCCATGCTGTATTACCCAGGATGCATCTCTGAGAAGAGGAGATTTGGATAGAGATTTAAACGAGATTTAGCGAGATGACGCGTTTGTGATACTTTTGTTGAAGAATGAGCACATTTGAACTGATTTCTACGATCTCAACGTAATTTGAGGTATGGACTTTCATTTTTAATAACACCTTGGTGTCTTATGGACCTCCGTCACTAAAAATAATAGGGAAACACTTGTGTAGAAACGTCGAATTCTTAGTCTGAAAAGTAGGGTGTCTGTAATTTTATAGAAAAATTGCCAAAAGCTTATGAACTTTTAGCTCTTACTACCACTACTTACCATTGAGAGTGCTGACTTTGCTTGATAGATCGCAGATTTTTTTTAGGGGCAACATGACGTCCACAGATCTTACCTATAATGCATCCTGATTGAACTATATGCACATAAGATTGATGTGCTTATGATTTCCGAGGTTATCTTCCTTCAATCAGATAGATATTGGCAATCAAATGGAAAATAATTTGTCTTTAAAATTTTGGGTGTTCCGCCATTTTAGACGTCATGTGACTGAAATTGCAACTATAATTCGAAAACACATCATCTTTTATTCTTTAGCTTGAAATGAATGATTTAATCATCATCAATACTATTCAAATTCAAATGTTCATATTATTTTGTACATTTTTTATTACATTTTAAAGGAATTTTCATGATTTGTTGTATTTGCACCACAAATAGTTTTAAATTTAGATGAGCTTGTCATGTGATCTGAAAACTGAAGGAAATGGCGATCTCAGGGATCTTGAATTTATTTCAGACATTTATTTTGAATGATTTGTCAGTTCTACATGTTTATGCCAATTTCATATTAAATAATAAAAGTATACTATCACTTTGTAAGTATATATCCATTTGGTACTAGATCTTTCAATAAGTTTATTGCACACAGGAATTCGTGTAGAAGGAAAAAGAAGTCAATAGAGCAAGCCTCGACTCAATAAGCAAAGAAAAGTAAACATTTAGAATGTGTAGCCTAGATCTAAAAGGCTAAAACAAATCTAGCCTTATGAGTACTATGTATGTTACATGTAGCTACTGTATGTTATTACCCCCATAAATGTGCGGTTGATTGTTCACCCCGACATCCTCCGATCAAAGGTAGACTATATCCTCTAGTCTGAAATTTTTTTTCTCAGGAAATTCAGTCTACTGGATATACACTAGATCAAAGGGCTTCAAGATTGAGAATATCTTCCTTCTCCCTCCCCCTGCGATAATCAGTTAGCATTTTGCCAATGAAAAACTCGCATTCTGATTTGCTGTTGCATCACTGAGCCAGCCAATCAAATTATCTCCTTCCAGCTCAGGCGCTTTTAAATGTACGTTACTGCAATATTCTAACCAAATTCTATCAAAGCTGTCTCAAAAAACATTCCAGTTGTGCATGATCGAGGACACATGTGTATTTGGGATAAGTTTTTAATTATAAGGCATATTAGACGTGGAAGCCCTGCCTCTAGTGATTTTTTGACTATAGGAGTTTTAATAGGGCCATGACAAATCTCAGATATATAAATAAAGCCCCATAGGTGCAGTAATTCACCTAAATGTACATGTATATATGCTTGCTTAGATCTAGCAATTATCAGCATAAATAACATGCGCCTGAAATCTGTGTTGACCTTATATTCAAAAAGTACTTGTACATGTAATTGTTTTAAGGAAAAGCAAATGTGATTGGTCAAGAATGATATCAATGATAACACATGTATATGCCATCGGCGAATAATTTTGCTACAACATAATGTGATTCAGTTTAATCGGGCGCTTCAAAATTGGTTATAATAATGGGAAGAATGAGTGATGGATCATGGACACCCCTTTAGGAGGTTATCACCCAACAACTACATGTATACTTGTGAAATGAAATCTTGGGGTTGAAAATATATAGCCGGATTAGTGATTATTTGGATAAAATTCAGCTTTGTGTCAACCACTGACAATGTTTTTTAACCACAATATTTTAAAACACAATTAGTTGTTGGGTGATTTGAAAAAATCAACCCTACATTTATGGGGGTACATGTGTAATGTTAAAGGCTTCTTAAAGTTTCACAAATGAAATAATAATGTCCACAGCCATCAGTGTCACAATATAGGGTAGCGATTTTTGGGTTTTTATTTTGTGCATGAGTACCATGTATGACATATATCTCCACAGCAGACATTTTCTTGATTCATAAGTGGTGACATTTTGTTATTTCCAACTATTTTGTTTACGGTGTTCGGTGTTTGGCATTTAGCATTTGGCAGTCAGCATCTTAAACAAATGGCAGGACTGAGGTGGTGACATTTTGCATTAAGCAATGTCAATTGTGGACATCAATTGGGATAATGCCTCTGTCCTTTAGAGAGATCAAAATAATCTAGACTTATCAAAGAAGCAGTTGAACATAATTCAGGATACTGTATAAAATAATATTGTATGTGAACACCACCATTCAAGGCCCTCATTGCTTCAATAACATGACTGACCTTGCTTCAATAACATGACTGACCTTGCTTCAATAACATGACTGACCTTGCTTCAATAACATGACTGACCTTGCATCAATAACATGACTGACCTTGCTTCAATAATGTGACTGACCTTGCTTCATTACATGACTGACCTTGCTTAATTAACTTGACTGACCTTGCTTCAATAACATGACTGACCTTGCTTCAATAACATGACTGACCTTGCTTCAATAACATGACTGACCTTGCTTCAATAAGGTGACTGACCTTGCTTCATTAACGTGACTGACCTTGTTTCATTAACGTGACTGACCTTGCTTCAATAACATGACTGACCTTGCTTCAATAACATGACTGACCTTGCTTCAATTACATGACTAACCTTGCTTCAATAACATGACTGACCTTGCTTCAATAACATGACTCCATGGCTTTCTGAACAAATAAAAAATTACCAATTTTGTCTTATAGTTTGTGTATGTATACTCTGACACTAAAACTCTTACTCTTAGTACATGTAAATCTCACATTACAGTGATCTCCCCAACATTAAAGCAAGTGGGCGCAGCCCCCACCTGAGATTTTGAAAATAGGCTTGCACCCATTTGAAAATCCAGTTGCACACACTTGAAATGAGAAAAATCATGAAAAATTGGCATATTTTGACCAATTTTGGTCTGAATTGTGAAAATGAGAACTTTGCACCCACCTGAGAACAAATTCTGGGGAGATAACTGCATTAATACCATGCAGTACCCTTTTGAATTTCCTTAGATAGATAATTAATAACAAAACAAAAGTGTAAACAAACACCAGTGAAACTGAAACACCATAATAGTTATAAACTGGTAGATTAAAAGTATCTTAAGAAAGAATTTCAACAAACAAATATACTGTTGTTGTTAAAATGTTTTATGTCAATATTGTTATCCTGGGGTCAAAGTACTTATCAATGACTAAGTGACCTGGGTTATTAGGACAATCTACATCATGTGATTACACACAAGACACGAATATTAACACAACATCTCATATGTTTGTAATTTTTTATAATTCAACCTATTTTGTATTTCAGGGTTATGAAGGAGACAAAACATGTGGGCTGATCTGCCAAATGAGATCACAGCACATACAAGTGATGTACTTTTAAGGAAAATACAAAATGAACATTGAGCTAATCTTCAAATACCTTTCAAGTACCTTTTTATGAGCTGACTCACTTATAACATCTTGCCATTATCTGGTTACAAGGAAGGACATAGATTAAATTCAACTAAGCAAACCAAGGAGAAGTTTAGCGTAAACTATGGGTCGTAAAGATAAGATAGAAAATCAGCCTTTGCTGGGTAGTAGTCCCAATGCTAATGACCAGAGAAGCCAAAGACATTCAAGTGACCCTGAGGGGGGACTGAGTACCGATACACCTACAAGTGATATGAGCTGTAACTCAGAAATTGATGAACATGTACTACCAGGAAACAAATACCATGCAATACCTCTTAAAACTCGGACACCATTATTTATATACGTTCTCACATTCTTCAGTGCAATAGGTGGCTTTCTTTTTGGATATGACACTGGAGTTATCTCAGGTGCAATGATCCTAATTAGGGATCGATTTCACCTGAATTCCTTATGGCAGGAGCTCATCGTGAGCGTTACTATAGGCTCAGCAGCATTGTTTTCAATCTTTGCTGGTAAAATGAATGATCGCTTTGGACGGAAGTTTACAATCTTAACAGCGAGTTTTGTGTTCATGTTAGGGGCGATAGTAATGGGAGTGGCAGGAAGTAAAGAGATGTTGCTTGGTGGCAGGGTTGTGGTTGGAATTGGCATTGGTAAGAGAATTATTTATCATTGAATGAATACTCATTATTTTTTATTAATTGTACATGTATGCATATCAATACTGATAAGGTTCTAGATAGCAAGACTATGCTTCCTAGAAAGCACTGTACTAGTAAGAACTCTAGGACATTTTTTCAGTTTGATCTACTGAAATGTATTATATTGCATGTAATTTAAAAACACATATATGTAAATTTCCTTGTTTACATTTTTTGTGAGGGCTTGAGGTTTCCAATTGCTGCCTATGAAAAGTTCACGTTATACATATGTTGTTTTGTTAGGTCTGAGCTCCATGACGATCCCAATGTACATTGCTGAGAGTGCCCCCTATGAGATGAGAGGGCGGTTGGTCGTCATTAACAACATGTTCATCACCGGAGGACAGTTTGTTGCCAGTTGTATAGATGGCGCTTTCAGTTATGATCACACAGATGGATGGAGGTAAAAAAGCACAAGTTTATCAATACATCAAGATGTTCATTCCAAATCATATTTCAGTGAAATTTAGGCACTAGAATTAAATAACATGATAATCTGAATAATGAAAATGAAAACATCAAGAAAAGTTTGACCAACTTTGAACTTTGGGTGAAAATGAAAATTTTGCACCCACTTGATATTATGAGAAAAATTCTTTTGTCTCAACTTTTTTGTGGATGGTCATTGGTGTTCAGCGGTCTACATCTGTAACAAATGGCAGTTGGTGATATTTTGCATGTTAATGCCTTGTAATTCTTGTCTACACGAGTCTGTTTTATGATTTCGTTCTGCTAATGCAAGTGTTCATATTCACACAGTTTGGTCTAAGGCTGGATAGATGGTAAATGCTGGATATGTGGCAAGTCCTATAATATCTTATGGTTTGCTCATTTTTATTCTGTTTTATCCCATTGTAGATACATGTTGGGGTTAGCAGGTGTTCCAGCCCTTATACAGTTCATAGGGTTCATCTTCATGCCTGAGAGTCCAAGGTGGTTGGTGATAAGGGGTAAACTAGACAAGGCCCGCCATGTCTTGCAGCTGATACGTGGTTACCAGAGTGTAGGCAAAGAACTGCAGCAGATTGAACAGACCAGTATTGCTGCACACCAAGCTGTACAAGAGAAAGGTAGAATAAATGTTGATAAAACATTGTATGTTGCGTTTTTGTAACAACACACAACTTCTGGTTTATTTGTTAATCTGTCCAGATAGTACTTTTAATTTTTCAGAGCTAAATCGGTAACTAAATTTAAGTTTTGTCTCACTTTTAATTTGAAAATTGATTTCATTCAAGTTCAAACTGTTCTTTGTGATATATTACAGGACAGGGTTCAGTTTTTCTTGAGATATTCCGAACTCCACATGTCAGGAAGGCACTGTTGCTCGGTTGTTGTCTTCAGATGTTTCAACAAATAAGTGGAATCAACACCGTCATGTATGTGAAATTCAAATTTAATTTCAATTTTAATTTAGATCTCATGAAGTATTTTGTTTACACTAATTTTTGGCATGCAATGAAACATGAAAAGATGTCTTCCAGTTTTATTTGGAATTCATACTATGATTTATCATCAAAAAAAGTTACTTTGAAAAATTGGCATCTTTGGCCCACCTTGTATGTGCAGTATGTTGGCAATCAGCCCCCTCCCCAAGTTTTAAAGTATTAAAAACCAAACACTTTTTGATGATTTTGATTAATTTTAGTGATGTAAACATTTTCTTCAGATAAAAACAATTGTTCCATGCATATGTATTTTTCTTATATATTACTGAATCTGTTTGTAGGTATTACAGTGCCACAATTATCAGGATGTCAGGTGTTCGAGATGCCTCTTCTGCAATATGGCTAGCTGCTGCTACAGCATTCATCAACTTTATATTTACATTACTTGGAGTGTACCTTGTGGAGAAGATCGGTAGACGACCACTTACCCTGGTGAGCTTGTTAGGTATGTAGACATTGTACCTGTTCTCACATGTCTATGTCACCACCAAAATTGCTGGTGACATATTGTTATAGTCTCCACCTTTTTTGTGGACAGTGTTTGGTGGTTGGCATTTGGTAGTCAGGGTCTGATGTTTGGCATCTGTAACAACAAATGGCAGATGGTGTTGACAAAATGCATTGTATAGATTATAAGATATAGTTATCAGCTAAAAGACTGAAATTGAAACTGATTGACAGAGAAAGGTGCAGTGCAATAAAAACTTTAGATAATGCAGAATAATTTTGTTTTGTTTTGAGATTTTAAAATTAATTTGTTTATTTTAATGATCCAGGTACAGCCATCAGTTTGATGTTACTAGCCATTGGGTTCCAAGTGGTAGCCACCAATTCGCCATCTGTCGCCTTGAATGAGCCCCCAGTGGGCAATTACTCAAGTAGCTGTAACACATACAGGTTAGTCTTAATAAATATTTTTCTGTAATATTTTGATGAGGCATCATCAACAATATATATTACCTTAAACATGATAAACAGAACTATATAACCTCAAATATCTCTTCAGCATCATACATATATACAATCTCAAACATGATATACAAAATTATAATCTCGTAATAATATCTAACTAATGTACATTGTACATGCATATTTCAGTGTGTGTGAGGGCTGTGTGAACAACCCAAACTGTGGATTCTGCTATATAGATGTCCCCACCATAGGTGTGACTAATGGCTCCTGCCTGGATACGCTGGGGAGTGACCCAGTAATGTCAGATTATGGAAGATGTTCAAATTCAACAGGTACATCAACATTAGAGTATTCTTCATGATATATTACTTTTATTGACATATTTATCATATCAACATGATTCAATAATCTGATTTCATCGAATGTAATAAATGATTTGAAACCTGCTTCTTTGTTTTTGCTCTGTCCTATCCATCCATCACAAATGAAAATTGCCATTTGCCAACAACCCTCATTTCCATTTTATGGTAGTCTTTGCTGGTAATGTACACCATTGGCCTGTCCTTCTCATGTCAAATTTTTCCAACATTGTCTTTCAAATGCTCTTCAAGGCTGCTAATGGCTTACAAATCTATATTTGAATATACTACAGAAACGTTAAGAAAACATTTTTTGTTCACTTAAATTTTTTATTGTAGGTCTAGCCAAGGATCAAGCAATATGGGCGTATGATTTCTGTCCAACAGCATTTTCGTGGATGACCTTGTTAGGCCTAGTGCTTTATCTTGCAGCCTTTGCCCCAGGTAATTTTATTGTCTCACCCATGGGCCTATTGGATAGAATAGGCATCCATTCATGAGTCCATTCATCCATCTTAAAAGATCATCAAATCATACATATTACTAATTACCCCATCCTTCTTCAAAGGACTTCATTTATGCCTAAATTCTTATATACTTATAAATATACTTGTAAAATACCCTTGCAGCAAGGATGTAATTACCCAGTTCTACCCAGTTCTGTAAGCTGTTTTACAACTTTTTATATAAATCTTGTCACAATTCAAAGACTTTCTTAAATCATTATCATTGATGAGTCCTCTTGGTTTTCAAGATATTGGCAATTCTGAAATCAAAAAGTCACATTTCGGTAACAGTCAGACTACTGTATGAGCATTTTTACATAGGCGTCGATCACACATTTTAGTATTTATTTTTCAATTAATTGATCAAATTAAACAATATTTATTTGGATTCATTTGCAGTCATAGTCATTTAAAGAAAAAATACATAAAATCAAATGATCTTTTAAAAATCCTCACACACCATACACTATTACGCTACCATATACATTCCATCACAATATGCAAACTTTGTGAACTGAATAATTTGCTGGGAATCGAAAGTCCACACTCTTATTCAAAGAAATTAAAATTATGTATGAAGTCATTTTATATGTACTTCAGGTATGGGTCGTATGCCATGGACCATCAACTCTGAGATTTACCCATTATGGGCCAGGAGTACAGGGGTGTCTCTAGACACATTTACTCTTCATTCTAATGCAATAACTTGAACTACTACTAACCCTCTTTGATATATTCCAGGTATGGGTCCTATGCCATGGACCATCAACTCTGAGATTTACCCACTATGGGCCAGGAGCACTGCAGTATCCATAGCAACAGCAACAAACTGGATATTCAACCTTGTGATATCAATGACATTTCTCACTCTTACTCAAACCATCACAAAATATGGTAAGTAATGAAATATTACAGGCACAGGTAGGGCAGCTGACCTTTTACAGGTACAGGTAGGCCAGGCAACCTATTACAGGTACAGGTAGGCCAGGCAACCTATTACAGGTACAGGTAGGCCAGGCAACCTATTACAGGTACAGGTAGGCCATGTGACCTATTACAGGTACAGGTAGGTCAGGTGAAATGTACCTTCAGTTATTACCTCCATATAAGTGGATTCATTTTGTCAGCTTTCTTTTGATTGAGTGGAGAACATTGATCATCACTGTTAGTGTGTTATTCATGACTTCTGCCTTGTACTGCATTTATGCCAGTAAATTGCATGAACCTCAGAGAGTTGGATTGTATACATTTAAACATGTAATATAATTGCTATAAAAATCTCAAAGTTATATTAAAAATACCAAAAACAGTTTTATACTGAATTTTTTTAACAGTGATGTTGAGAAAATGTATAAAAGTTTGATTGATTTAATGTGCTGTAAGTTTTATTAAAGCAATTCATGCAAATAAACCAATTTAACAGGAAGTGAAGATCAACCAACTAAGCGACTGCCATTTAAATGAGTTCTCATTAACATTAAACCACTGTTCTGTAAAACTGTTTTCTTTGAATTATGTACTGCACCCATTTGTCACTGATATATATAATGAAAAAGATATGACAAAACAAACTGATCATAATCATTCACATACTGTATGTTGTACTTAAAGTACTCATCTCCTATTTTAATCTTTCTATGTTTGACTTTCAGGGGCATTCTGGCTTTATTCAGGACTAGCATTACTTGGACTAGCATTCCTATTAATACAAAAATTACAACCCTACTCCACCTTTAATCTTTCCATGTTTGACTTTCAGGGGCATTCTGGCTTTATTCAGGACTAGCATTACTTGGACTAGCATTCCTGTTTTTCCGTCTCCCTGAGACTAAGGGCAAGTCCTTGGAAGAGGTAGAGGAACTATTCAAACAGGAATCAGAATGGGACACATAAGTCACATCACTACTTTTGTTGCTGTCATTTCAATAGTGACATACAGAGAGTGTATAGTTATTCAAATGATACAAGGGGCGTTCAATAAGTTTTGCAAGTGATTCTCTATCTCTGCAAAAGTTGTTCATAAACTATTGACTCTCAAATGTTCATTGGTAATTCATGTTCTATATTTCTACCAAGTCTCATGACATGATTCAGAATATTGTCTAAGATAAAGGGTCGCTTGCAAAACTTATTGATTGTCCCATGTACAAAACAAATGAGAGACTGATACCCCCTGGGCCGATAACTGAATAAAAACAGGGTTGCTGGTTTAATTCCTACGGTTCAATCTCCATGATTGAAGGGAATCGTTCTCACCACCTACTGTATTATTTATTCCTCTCATGCTAAAGATTATATTACAAATCAATATTGTAGGAAAGGTATTGGGACAACTTATATTATGTTTGTACAACAAAAGTACATGTAATATTATGCAATTATTCCAAAGTTACTGTGATATTTATAGGATATCATGTCAAAATAGAAATGGTATTTTTGTAACCAGTTGAAAAAAGAATTTTGGAAGATTTTCACTAAATCAATTATAGCTTTTAAACCAGAAGATATTCCCCTCATTGTTATGTTTCTCATTTTGTGATGGGGAGAAGGAATATTAAAAAAATTAAATGCAGGAAATATATGCTCGTCTAACCGAAGCTTATTTATCTACCAATAAAGAGTAAGAGTAACAGGGAAATACAGGGTAACAAAAAAAACTGGAACCCACTTAAGTCTTAATAACTTCGTCAATAATGCATATTGAGGTTAGTTATTCATTATTCATTCATCTCTGTCTATCTCCTTAATTAGTCTTCCAATGTTGAGTTTTAGGTCATCAATGGTCAGTGGACTATCTGTATACACATTATCCTTGAGATACCTCCACAGATAAAAATCTGAGGGGTTCAAATCAGGGGAGTGGGGGGCAGATGTGGCGGGTATGGTGACTGATTAATTGATCAATAAAGTGAGCCTGAAGCCATTGAATGGACTCATTTGCGGTGTGGGGTGTGGCACCATCTTGTTGGAACCATTGCTGGTCCCTTCTCAAGTCACGTCGTCTACCCAGCACTCTCCAAAACTTTTGAGCGTTAGGGATGTTACGTTCTGAGTTGACTGTTGAGTTGTCTTGAGTTCTGACAGACCTCTCTCTCCCCAAATAGGTTGGTTTTCCACCACTTTTCTTCTTTGTTGGTTTTACAGTTCCTTCTGAATCAAACTTCTGTACAAGCCTTAAGATCTGTGACTTGCAAGGGGCTCTTCTTGCCCTGTGATCTCTCATATAGGCAGTTTGTGTCTCTTTGTCTCTTTATAGGATTTCGTCTCGATATACTTTCTTACAATATAAGTCTTTTCTTCTGTCGTCCATGGCATGATTAATATCTAAGCTACAGTACTCATTATTGTGTCATTTTGTCATGCATTCAGTCTAGTTTCTACCCTGAAGAAATGAAGAATGTAGGTATAATACTTTCCGAGAAATTTGATGATTTATGGGTTCCAGTTTTTTTTTGTCACCCTGTATCTCCGGATACTTAATGTCATGTGGTGCATGTCCAGCCAATCACAGAACGAGAAGCATGACAGTGAGATAATTAGATGCAATACTTTGGAAAATGACAGTGTGCTTTTTGCATATCTGTACATATTTCATAAGTTAATCAGGTGCAATTTTTGGTGTCAGTTTGCTTTTTGTCAGCAGACAGTTTTTCAAAATATGTTTCACAAATTAGCATCATACATATATTACTAAAGAACATTTTTTAAAACAGTAAAACATGTCTAACATAAAAAATTTGGGCCAGTTCAAAGTTTCCTCTTTCCAACAATTTTTAGAGGAGGAAATATGTATACATTCAAAGAAATTGTATTTTTCTTAAACTATATTTAAGAGATTTGCGCAAAATCAAGGAATTTTCCTGTTGTTTAAAAAGTTGGCTTTGGCTGTGTGGTACCTGATAACTTGCTTTAAAAGATGGGGTGTTTGCAATTGTTGATATTAAGATGATGTGTAAATTATAGTTTACAAGATCATATATTTTAGCCTGCAATCTACAAAGTATAGCACATTGTTATTGTTCTGTATCAGGTCTGTGTAGCCAGGGGGGTTCAAGTGAACTCATCAAGCCAAAACTTCTTTCGAAATCATGCACTTTTTCACCATTCCAAGCACTTTTCAAGTGATTTTGGGCCAAAATTGTCAAACATGACCCTCCTGGAATATTTTGAAAAGTGCCCCCTCGGCAAGAGCTGGCTATGGGCCTGTGTATATAGCAGAACCCAATATACTGTACACTGTATGTCATGGACAGTGATAGCTTCAGAATAATGAAGCATATATTTTGATTGTTATTTTGTAAAATTACAAAAAATATATTTTTATTAATAGTGTGAAATAAAACTAGAATATTTAATAAAAGTGTTCTGATTTGATTCGATTTGATTCGATTCGATTTGATTTATATAATCATATGTGTGCACATTAAATAATAAATTTTATTATTTCCATGCTGTGACGGTGCATCACATTTTTCAATCACACAATGTGACAAAATAAATGAAAAATAGAGGTATTCCATCCTTAAGGTAGTTCTGTATGTTCAGAAATTTTAATGGCTTCATAGCCTTATTGGAGCCTAATTTTGTGTCATTTTTCTCAAATTCTCAATAGATGAACAAATGTTCATTATAAACTATTCAAACATGACCGTTCTCTAATTGAGTTTCTCAACCAGTCAGAATGCAACATACATGTAGCCACGCTCTAATTCTCTCTAATTCTATTCAATCATCCGGGAATCTATTGTGTTGTACTGTGATGTCAGACCTGAGAATGGTGAAAATAACACCAATCGATCCCCAATTCTCTGAACAATGTCTTCATATTTTATGTTTGAATCGGAATAAATAATGACAGGCCATTCAATGTGGTGAAATTCTACACTTGTTGGACAGAATGTCAGTACAAATGCACTTTCAGTTTGTGCTTTGTACCATATTCAAAGTTCTGTGTTCTCTCTACAAAACATGGAAAATAGTGAAATAATGAAAAATTGTAGACTGCACCACAGGAACCCTGCCGACTGAACTTACAAAAATTTAGTGAAACTTTTGCCAATAATGACTACTTGAAAATCAGTAGGCGCTATGCCCTGAATACGATTTACGTGGATGTTTCAGTGGCACAATCCATCCATCCGCGAAAGTCGCCCCCTTGGGAAATCCTTCAGATGGGCCTGCGTGTACTGTAGATATTTGTCTCAATGCGAGTTGCATGCTCCTTAGAGAGGACACGGTATTTACATTTTAAGTCCTGCATCTGGAAAACCTCAATGGTTATAATCTTGGCAAGAGATAGCTTTGTGCCAACTAAGTAAATCATATTCATGTTGAATCATGTTAATCTTTATTGTGAGGTTATGTAATATTTATTTTATCATTAACAGAAAGATGTCTCTAGTCAAGTCTCCTTCAACTTATATTTGAGGGTACAATTTCATTTCAACAGGCAAGCAGAATTTGCCATTTAGATATTACCGGCGGGAGAAACTGCAGAAGCAGAAAAATAAACACATCTCAAAGATTAGCTAATTACACGACATTAAGCGATATTAGGTCACTCCAAAGAGTGTCAAGTTGTACATTGCAATAATGGAAAGGCCAAAGATACAGAGGAGCAAATCGGTAAACTCACAGGAAGATTCTGACGACGAACAATTGAGTATCAATTCTCAAATGAAAATTGATCAAATTGGCTCAAAAGTAAAAACACCAAACTTTGTATATTTACTAACATTTTTCAGTGCATTAGGCGGATTCTTATTTGGTTATGACACTGGGATCATTTCGGGCGCTATATTACTCCTTCGCGAGGAGTTCTTACTTACGTCTGTATGGCAGGAACTTGTGGTCAGTGTAACAATCGGATCGGCAGCGGTCTTTGCCGTATTAGGAGGGTACCTGAACAGTTCACTTGGACGTAAACCAATCATATTAATCTCGAGTGTTATGTTTATATTGGGGTCTGTTATCATGGCTGCTGCGACTGACAAGTACTTGTTATTGACGGGGAGAATTGTTGTTGGGGCTGGAATAGGTAAGCGCTGTGAACTCCCCCAACTCCTTTACTGTCCTATGATAGAGGGAGATGGGGGAGGGTATCTTGGGTCTTTGGGGCCATTACTCTCTCCCAATAAACTTCCAATTACATGGAGAAGTTCTAAACACATGGCCTTCAGTAGGGAACAAAAATGCAAGGGCATTACTGGGTTTGGAATTTTCTATATATAACGGGGGCAAATTTCAATCTGAAAAAATCTTTCCATGCATGCGCTAAAAAATATTTGTGCAACTAAATAGTGGATCCAAATTTTGAAAATTTAAGACCCATTTTTGAGAATTTGACCATAAATTAAAAATTAGGCCCAAAAAGGCCCGGTTATGCCCAAAAAGGCCATGGTATAAAACAAATGTTATTTTTAACACTACTGTACTCCCATTTCAGATGTGTAGACCTCCTAACACTCTTATTCCACACTGAAGGGCCTGAGTTTATAAATGCTTATACCTTGCAAAAGTATTTAGCTTGGCCTCATACATGTACCTTATTTTGATAGACCCCGACCATCTTCCCTCATTGCAGGCCCTGCAATTATGTCTTACCCTGATCACAAAAAGGAACAGGCATAATACATTATTCACCTTATAAAGCAACAATGTGATAAGTTTTCATGAAGGATGAATGGCCTTTGAATTAGGTTGCATGCATTCTGATTTATCAGAGTCCCTCTTTACCTAATGCTTTTGAGAGACTCTGATATATCATGAGGCAGAACATGTTCCTAGCCAGTGCATTCTCCAAGTAAATCAGTGTATATGGAGGAATAAATTAGTACCTAAGAATGCACTGTCCTGTTTTCCCCTTTGTAAACTTTAATTCAATTAATTCATTATGTGGAAAACTTTTATTTATCTTGATGGTTCTTGTTTTTATATTGAAAATGAATAACTATGATAATGTTGACATACTTCTTTTTTCTTATTGTTTTCCAATTTAGGATTTTAAACAATAATTATCATACAAATGTCGACACTTAGATTATTTGGGAGGGCATTGTGTTTGGTCACACTCATTAGGCTTCGGCTGCTTATGTAATAATGCAACTGCAGGTAATGCCTTCCCATGATACTCATGGTCAATAGAACTCTGTAAATAATTTGATTGGTCCGTACATTTTAGGGTTAAAGGAAACATTTATTACAGTCAGTAACCCACAGTCTGAACTATTCCAAAAGGATAGTAAAGGCTGTGGATCCCACAATGGGTTGCATGACTCTTAATAAAGTTGTTTTCGAAGACTTCGGAATCTGTGTAATTGTATTAGACATTTCGGATGGAGCCCTAGATATAAGGTCATTTTGCGAACAATAACCTTAAATTGTGCTGAGATGTACTCTGATAATTAACTCATATATATTTCATTATATTATGTATTGTTTAAAACTAGAATAACAGTAAACCTTAGAACAATTATTTACTGTATGAAGATTGCATACTTTTTGATAGGTAACAGTTGAACAATTACTAGTTGAAAAACTGAAGCATTCATTTAGATTATTGCAAGAATTTCCTCAAGACAAGATGATGAAAATGAAGTATGTCATTCTTTACTAGTGTTGTCGTGATGTGCCATTATCTTATTTTGATGCATTGGCAATTTTTAGGAGTAAACATTGATGCACATCGCAATGAGAAAAAGTCTCGAGAAAAAGTTCATCTGCGAATGGGTTACTACTTCCTGTAATGGTATGTGAAAATAAATGTAAAAATTTGGAAAAGGTGACTTTTAGCAGATTCAATTTTTTGAAAAACATTGATGTTTTGTTAAGACATCAATGCATCGACAGAATCACTTTTTTGCGATGTATTCATCGCAACAACTCTATTCTTCACATGCTGGCAAGTATTCATTAAAACCATTCCGTGCTGAGAGTATGGGGTTGTAATATGGTTTGCCGGTTAGTCTGCTAACATTAATTACTGAATTAAGGATAACTATGGTAAAAGAAAATACCTAAGTACTACTATTGATTTGCTCTTAGGGTTGAAGACCTACTGATTGAGAAGAAAATGTTTTTGTGTCATTATCATGATTACATTTCATTATGATGGTTTTGATAATACATGAAACTTGATCAATACAAGATGTCATTAAAGGGGCAACAAGGCCTGTAGAGAGAAAATAGGAAAATTTTAACTTTTTCTGAGTTATCAAGGCAACATTTGGCTTAACATACATACGTACATTCCTTTTTTCTTAAAATGTATGGATACACAATCATTTTCAGCATTAAGAAGTATAAATTCAGTTCAAAGCTTCAAAAAGGGGAAATCCACTTTTATATTTTTACGATCCACCATGTTTCAAGAGGAATATCAGCTGAAATAATGTTTATCTAGGGGGTTTCTTTGTAGATAATAAAAATAGATGTAAGTCTTGATGAAATATCCAAACTTAAATATATTTTGATACTGGTCCAGGATCGTTGAATGGCCCTTCTGCAGTCTGCACTGATTGTTGCAACTTTAAGATGCTTTAATAAATGCTTCTTACTTTGCCAATTGATTCCTGAGGGAGAATTGATTAATAATCTTTATCTAACTGCAAAGGAGAATGAAGTAATAATCTTTGTCTTCTGAAATAGAATGAAGTTATAATCCTTGTCATCTGAAGGAGAATGAAGTAATAATCTTTGTCGTCTTAAGGAGAATGAACTAATAATCTTTGTATTCTATGAAAAAGAATGAAGTAATAATCTTTGTTTTCTATGAAAGAGAATGAAGTAATAATCTTTGTCTTCTGAAAGAGAATGAAGTAATAATCTTTTTTTTAAAAGAAAAACGTAATAATCTTTGTCTTCTATGAAAGAGAATGAAGTAATAATCTTTGTCTTCTGAACGAGAATGAAGTAATAATCTTTGTCTTCTAAAAGAGAATGAAGTAATAATCTCTGTCCTCTATGAAGGAGAATGAAGTTATAATCTTTGTCTTCTGATAGAGAATGAAGTAATGATCTTTGTCTTCTGAAGGAGAGTGAAGTAATAATCTTTGTATTCTATGAAGGAGAATGTAGTAATAATCTTTGTATTCTATGAAGGAAAATGAAATAATAATCTTTGTCTTCTAAAAGAGAATGAAGTAATAATCTTTGTCTTCTGAAAGAGTATGAAGTAATAATCTTTATCTTCTGAAAGAGAATGAAGTAATAATCTTTGTATTCTATGAAGGAGAAATGAAGTAATAATCTTTGTATTCTATGAAGGAAATGAAATAAGAATCTTTGTCTTCTGAAAGAGAATGAAGTAATAATCTTTGTCTTCTAAAAGAGAATGAAGTAAAAATCTTTGTCTTCTGAAAGAGAATGAAGTAATAATCTTTGTCTTCTGAAAGAGAATGAAGTAATAATCTTTGTCTTCTGAAAGAGAATGAAGTAAAAATCGTTGTTTTCTGAAAGAGAATGAAGTAATAATCTTTATCTTCTGAAAGAGAATGAAGTAATAATCATTGTCTTCTGCAAAGGAGAATGAAGTAAAAATCTTGAAGTAAAATGTCTTTTGAAGGGGAATCTATTAAAGGGTCTTGTCTTTGCCTTAACACTCTATAAGGCTCTATAAGTCAAATGCCTAAAAGTCAAGTAATATAAGTCAGACATTACCATATAAGTCTAACAACCCACACCCTATAAGTCAAAACACACTTCATGTGAATCAAGTATTCATCCTTGGTTGAAGCATTGTTGTTGGCAGAAATGTAAATCAACCCTCTTTAGTGGAATAACAAACACTATTGTCAGTCCCATGAGAGAGAAAGAGTTCTGTAATATTATTCAGTATTTCAGTATGCATTTAGTAGTAGTATTTCTAAATACAGGGCTTCATCTAAGACAAAATGAGAGTCAATATGCTGATAAAATTCTGTACATCCTAGCAGTGGCATTGATTTTTGCTTTCTAGCACTTTCGCCTGTCACCTATTGATATATATGTATTGTGAAACTTGTGTTGTCTTTCAGTTATCACAACAATACACCGGAGAAGGCCATTTCTGAAATTGTAAACCTAATAACAGTATTGGATCGAGGTAGTAATTTTGATGAGGCCAAGGAGACTTTTCATTTGTTTGAGTGGCTATTTCCCGGAACTGCAACATGTAATTGTATCTGGGGATAAAATAGCAGGTTTTATCGGGGATAAAATAGCAGGTTTTATCGGTAAACTAATAATTACTTGGGTAATAAAGTTTACCTCAATTTATGTGGATGATAAAACCAATAAGTTGAACAACTTTGGAACCTAAAATGATGTTCCATTTGGGGTACTAACCTTGATGTAGGTATATAGTAAAACCTATATATATATTTGTATTTGTATATGCCTAAAAATAATGTTCTTTGGGAGGTGGTCCCGGCAGCAAGTAAAAGAGGTTCATTATCCCGATGAATGAAGTTCAGGAGGAATAAAATAAAGCCATCCATCCATCTGTCAATCCATCCATCCATGCATCCGTCTATCTGTCCATCCATCCATCCATCCATCCACACCAAACCACTCACACACCCATCCATCCATCCACACCAACCCACTCACCCACCCATCCATCCGCACCAACCCACTCACCCACCCATCCATCCACACCAACCCACTCACACACCCATCCATCCATCCATCCACACCAACCCACTCACCCACCCATCCATCCACACCAACCCACTCACACACCCATCCATCCATCCATCCACACCAACCCACTCACCCACCCATCCATCCATCCATCCACACCAACCCACTCACCCACCCATCCATCCATCCATCCACACCAACCCACTCACTCACCCATCCATCCATCCATCCACACCAACCCACTCACACACCCATCCATCCGCACCAACCCACTCACACACCCATCCATCCATCCATCCACACCAACCCACTCACACACCCATCCATCCGCACCAACCCACTCACCCATCCATCCATCCATCCACACCAACCCACTCACACACCCATCCATCCATCCACACCAACCCACTCACCCAT